CAAGGGGGACGGGCTGGAGGGAGCGGGATCGGAATGGGATGGGCTGAGCTGCGGGGAGCGAGAATAGGCCGGCGGGAGCGGAGGGGACGGGGAACAGGGCTGAGGAGAGCGGGGCTGGGCCCGGGGAGGCCTCGCGACTCCCGCCGTTGGGAAATCACCGTCCGCTCCGGTCCCCCTCCCCGCAGCCGCCGTGACGTACTCGAAGCCGCGCTTGGCCACGTTCTGGTACTACGCCAAGGTGGAGCTGGCCCCCCCGACCCCCGCCGAGATTCCCCGGGCCATCGACAGCATGAAGGGCCTGGTCAGGGCCTTCCAGAGCGGCCGTCTGGCACAGCTCACCGTCAAGGTACCGGCCGGGACGGGATGCGACGCTGCCCAGGGACAGCTCCTGGCCAGCCAGGACCTGCTCTGCTCCTGCCCTTGGGAAGTGGGAAGCAGTGGGAACTGTTGTCAACGCCATATGAAGTGCAGGAAATTCAGGGCCCCCGGAGTTCAAAATGTTTTATTTCAACGGCTTTGCTTTAATTATTCCCAGCCTGGAGCAGGCAGTGGTTGTTCCCCTCTGATCCGATCGTTTTCTGTCACAGGGAAGTGACTGTCCGTAGGTGGCTGAATGAGCCCGGCCCTCTGGATCGGCTGTGTCATCGGTTGGCCTTGAAATTACTGTGTTTCCCGTGTGTGGGCTAAGAAATTATCCTTGAAAGGGCTGTAAAAAGCCACGAACAACAGCTGTCAGTGTACTTAATGTTGTAGAAAATACCTGTGATGGGGCATGTTGAGAGGTGGCCAAGCACAGCAAACACTCTGCTGCACTTCTGGATTTTTGCCTTGGGAACTGGTGGCCGGCATGGATGTGGGAGTGGGGGAGGAGCTGTTGTGGGAGTGTGGGTCTAACCTGTGGCTTTTTACTTTCAGGACGCACTGAGGAATGGCCTGGTGGCCACGGAGGTGCTGATGTGGTTTTACATTGGGGAGATCATCGGCAAGGGCGGCATCATCGGCTACAATGTGTGAACACTCACTTCAGCAATGCCAGCGGTGCCACGGTGCTGGGTCTGTAATGGGGTTTGTGACAATAAAACTAGGAGCCCATATCGAGCTGTTGTCATCCTTGTCTGGCACTCTGACAGGTGCCAGCTTGTCCTAGGGGCAATGCTGGCAGGGATCAAGAGGGATCTAAGGGCCAGTCCCAAGGGTGCCAGAGCTGCTTTAGTGACACCACTTTTGGTTACCCGAATTCTCTCTACTCTGGGACACTCACTGTGCCCCAACTGTGTCTCCAGGGGAGGTTTGAGAGCCCCAGAATCAGAGGCTACAAAGGGGAAACATTCCATTTGTTCCTGAATGCAATTCCCATCAGCTAGTGGAAACCAAAACCAAATTCCAGTACTTTTTACATTATCAAAAGCAATTTCCATGGCTTATTCCAAAAAGAATGTAGCATGGTTACAGGCAGCTATTTTGGTTTGCTGTCTGACTGGTGCAGTGGAAGCCTGTGTAAGTAAGCAGAGCTTTGCTGCATGTGTCAACCGGCCAAAGGTTGAGCTGTCTAGGGTCTTACCACCTTGCTCATTGTCAGCCAGCTCTTGCAGGATTTTCTACAAAACCTGATGAGTGACCTGTGCTCTGACATGTTCAGAAAATAATTTGTAGGAGTTCTCTGAAGCTAGCAGCCTGTTTTTACTGTCTTAGAAGATGGTTTTAGTCAGCATTGCTCCTTGTTGATACTGTTGTTATCTTGGCTGCTCCTTTGCTCTTCTGGGTGTTGTGCACACCAGTGACTCTACAGGCCCCTAGCCCTCAATGACCCCAATGTTTCTGGGGTGACTGTGCCAGTAGCACATAATTTGCTCTTTTCCCCGCAGAAGAACTGACCTTCTCAGCACATCATCTCAGCAAGAGGCCTTGTGTGCTTCTGACAGGGAGTGCAGGTGAGCTCACACACTCCAGACATGGTAACCAGCAGGGTGTTCATGGTATGGATGGAAACCTTTCCTTTTTTCTTGTTAAAAAGAAGGGTTCCTGCCCCAGCAGCTCTGAGTCACAACTGGTCACAGGTCACTTCCATGCCACGGATGGGAAAACTGAGATTCAATAAACTTCTGCCAGGGAGTCTGCAACAGGAGCAGCCACTGGATCTGTGTCCTGTGCTTGCTTCTCCCACCAGCCTGGCCAGGACACCATGACTGCCTCGCATAGCCCTCCTCCCAGTGCTGGGGAGGGTTTAGTGATTGCTCAGCCCCAGCAAATCTGACCAGGGCTGCAGCCAAATGGTCTGACTGAGCAGGGGTGAATAATAGCCTTTATAAAATAACTTTTTGCTCCTGTCATCACAAACCTTTCACCCAGCAGGTAGGGAGACCAGTGAGGGAATGGGCCAGGCCTGTTGTGAGATTCTGCAGCATATGTTCCTCAAGGAGAGGGAGATCACACATGGGATGTAATGTGTGAGCTTGACTGGAAGGAGGGTTCTGAACCCAAGAGAACCTGATTGAGAGCAAGGCTGTCTGATCTGGCTCCAAGACCTGCCTCTCCTTTCTGACTTGTTCTTGTCTGCACATGCCCCTCTCAAAGCAAGTTCTGGTGGGTATTCACAGCTTACACCAGCAGTGACTGACCTGGCAAAAGCTTTGGTGGGAGGATGAGATTAAGCTTCACTAGTAAAGCATGGGAGAGCTCAAAAATGCTCCTGTCCCTAGAGAGGAATAAACTAATTTTAGTTCTCCTTGGAAGTCCTTAGGAGAAGTCCCCCACAGCCCTCCTCCCACAGAATCCCAGGCAGAAGCAGTACCTGTGACCCCAAAAGGCTCCAGCAGCTTATTCGTCCTCTCTAAAGCCGGAACAGTGTCTGCCTGCCTCTCTCGGGGATAAACAGCCTCATCCCCGCCCCTCCCTCCCTCCTTCCCTTCCCTGCTGATCAACTTGGGAGAGAAATGGGTATTTTATGTCCGCAAGCAGAGGGATTTACATCTTATCCGTGTGTTTGCAGCGCTGTTCTCAGAGAATACGCTGGGCACTTGTTGGATGTTAACCCTGTTCTCGCTGTGNGGAGCGAGGTAGGATGGATGGGGCCGGGGGCCTCCCGGTGCCCCCCGGTGCCGAGGATGCTCGGCGGGGTGACGCGTCCTCCCCCGGGCGCGGGGGCTCGAGGGGGCTGGGCTGCCGGCCCCTCCTGCGGGCCCGGCGGTGGGTGTCGCGCACCGGCCCTCCCCCTTCTCCTCCTCCTCCTCTTCCTCCCTTTCGCCGCTGTGGATGCCCCAAGCGGAGGTTGGGGCTGCGGGACCGTTGCGAGGGGCCGTTCCCGGTACTCGGAGCGCTGGCGCTCCTTTTTTCTTTTTTTACCCTTTTTTTTTAGTTGCTCTTCTTCTTCTCTTCATTTTTATTTTTTTTTAAGCCTTTCTAAGGCAGCCGGAGTGGGAGTGCGACAACAACCCACCTATTGACAGAACAGGGAAGACATGATGGGGGTGTGTTACTACGAGCTGCAGCGTTCTTTTCCCCCAGTTGTTTTGCATCGCTCCTTAACGGCATCCTTACACCGGCAGGAGAATTCCCCAGGCGTTTTGTACCAGGAGGGCCTTATTGATTTTTGAAGGGCCAGTTCTGTCTCCTCTTCTCCAGGCAGGTTGTCAGCTGTAGGCTGGGTGAACGTATCTTTTTATTTTCTATCTAGAAAGAGCAGTTGTTTTCCTTTCCCGTCACTGGCCGTAGCAAAGTGTATTAAAACACACATGAAAATGCAGTTTTCTTGTGTCTTTCTGGCCTGGTTTTGGCATTTTCTATCGGATGCCATGAAGTGGAGCTCTTCTCTCATGGCTGAGCTGGAGGAATTTCTTGCCTGTAGAGTGGCAGCTCCCGTGGGCCTCTGTCCTGGAGAAATGGGGCTGTGTTTGCATGCACAGAGCTGAGCGTGGGGACACTACTACCCTCACCTGTGCAGACTTTAGGGTGTGAGTCGCACTGCTCTCATTAACACCACCTTCTCAGGGGCTGCACTTTGGGATGCTTGTCTTTGTTGTTGTTTGCAGCAGACATGGCTTGATGGAATTCATGGAGTACTCTAGGAAGCAGTTAATATCTCACCAGTGGTAGTTCAGGGATAGAAGTGACAGATCTGGCTAACCAAGCTGACCACAGAGTTGATAACCCAGGAGGTTTTTCATGTGGGGGGAGGCAAGTTGCTTTGTTTCTTTTCTTCTGTTTTTTTTTTCTAAGATGTCATTTCAAGAGTGCTTTGCCATGTGCTTATGTATTGGCACCCGAGTGCTGAACTAAAGGTTTCATAGCACTGTGTTGGAGGAAGCAGGTAACTCCTCAAGTCAGTGGCTCATCACTTCTCAGGGATACCACAAAATTCCCAGAGTGGGGTTAGCTGTTCCCCCCAAGCTGAGCTGCAGAGCATAGTTTGACTTTAGTACTGTTTCTTTAAGAGTATATATTTAGGAATGAAAGATGAGTTTACCATCACCAAAGATTTTTTTCATGCATCCATACAGCAACTCTAGAGCTTTTCTCTCACCATCTGCAAACTGTATATTTCTAGGTAGTGGTTTGACTGACCATCTTTCTTGGAAGTGATATTATTGAAGGCTTGTTGTGGCCAGAATGAGAGTATTTCAGGTGTTCTAATAAGCATTCCTCTGTATTGAGATTGGAAAGCATAAATCAGAATTTCTCATCCAGGTTGGAACCAGGACTCTGGCAAAGCAGATCTGTATGCCCAGTAACACAGCTGTAACAGACCCACGCTGAGCCTCTGCCCCATAAAGAGTAATATATTCTTTCTAATTCTAAAAAAAACTGGACTCTGGAAGCTGCAGCCCTAATCACCATTGTATTGCCATGAGTGATGCCTGAGGGTACAGCTGCAGTGGTGTAGTTTGGGGGTTGTCATGTGGAGGTGACCAGGCCAGGAACTGTTCTATGATCTCAAGACATGCTCTGTAGGTCAGTGCTGCTCCAAGGTGAAGCCCTGGTAAAGTCTGTGTGTCGCTCCTGGTCAAAGTTTTTGTTGAATTATACAATGGACACATGTCCCCTCATCTGAGTTGGTGCATAATGATCACCCCAAGTGCTCAGCTGTTTGTTAATGAAGTTGCATCACAAGTAATGGCTTGGGAAGCATCTCCCTGAACTCCCAGTGGACTCTGCTCTGCTCCCAACACCCAGCGTTTGTCTCAGGGTTACTACCTGCCAACCTCCAAGGGTGTTTACTCTGCTGAAAGCAGAGGAGTCTGGTAGATGTTGTGCTTCAGTCACTAAGCAGGCATTTGAATGAGCTTCTAAAAATAGCTTATCCCTTTCCAAGAAAGTGAGGTGCTAACTGGGGCCAACCCCAAGATGGGGAGTGGGAAGTACAGCACTGGGCAGGTGACTCTACTGTAAAATAAAGTTTTTCAGGTGCTGATTGGAGCAGCTGCAATGCTGGTTTATTGCTGTTGAGAGCCCCATGCAACTGAACGCATCCATAGTGGCATGGTTTAATCCTGTTATTGCTCAGACAGAGATCAGTTAGTGCCTGCAGGTTAGTTTCTCCTGTGAAAGTGGATTTTCCTCTGAGATCTTTAACTGGAAATTGTTTGAAAAGTAATACTGCTCAAGAGCATTGCGATAGACATTTACTTGCAACTTCTCTGTTCTTCAGTAGCTGGGTTACTTCAGGAAAAGCCATTCTTCATCTGCACACAACTCTGAGGTTGAACCCAGTTGGGACAGTGTAACGTTTGAATGGGAAATGTACGTGGAAGCTCTGCTGCCCACAGAGAGATCGTCCCATGCCTGCTTCGTTAGTCTTCATGTCTGGCATGAGGCAAGCCCTCCCTCACCTTTTAGTTTATAGTCTTGAGTGGCCTTCTTTGCATTGCATTAATCTTTTTCAGGTAAATTAGGTCATGTTAAAAATCTTCATGGTTTTTAATCACTCTCCATCCAAATGTCATGACATTTCTGAAAAACTAGAGGGAGGCTGTTCCTGCCTAGTTTGCCTCAAAGCTGCATTTTGGCATGTGATGGTCAACTGAATGGTTTAGCCTGGCAAATGCTGAGTGATACTTAGTGGTTTTCTTGATCTTCTCTGATAGGTCACAGGGCTGCCTTCTCAGGTAGTGATAGTGACCATTCTGAGGTCACCAATACACTCAGGAATGTCACTGAACACACAAACAATATGTATGATGCACAATATGTATGTCACACAAGTGACATATTGGTCATACTACTTGTGGTTGTAAATGAAGCAAAAGTGATTGTTTTGTGGAAGGAGCCTCTTTGCTGTAGACAGTTCTGGTGACTGCTTGGTAAGAAGTAGAAAAAATGATCATTCCCAGGGTATTGGGCCAAAGCCATTATTAATGTATAATTAATATTAATTATATTAATTATAAATATTACATATACATATATTATATATATACATATTAACGTATAATTCTCCATTGGAGAAGTAAGATAACAGAGCTCAGTTTGAAAACAATGCAAGTTCTAATCGTGGATTGACAGGTGATTGTCAAAAATATGGCAAGTACTGATTTAGCAGCCAGAGATAAAATAAAAATGACTTTAGGACCCAGAATAACAAAATGAAGAAAATATCTGTAGCAGCCACAGGAGCTTGGAGGCCAGTGCAAGTCAGGAAATCACACAGGGTGAGCAGCTGATCCCTTAGTGTTTCTAAACCTGACTGTTCTTAGGTACCCCTTATTTCTCTGTGCCTTCTCTGGGTTTCAGCCCACATCTGTTTCCGCTGACAGCTTCTCCCTCTGTTGGGGCTGGGCACCCTTTCCCTGCCCACGCCCACCGAGGCAGTGCTGCACCGCACGGCGATGTTTACATCCTGCTGTAGCCCACGTGCTCTGGAGCGCAGGCAGGTCCTTGATCCGAGGAGCGGGCAGCTGGGCGATCCCGCAGCTGCTCTTGCTCCGGTTGCAGTGCAGCAGGACTGAAGTTCAGAAGCAGTAGCTTCTCCCTTTCTGGGAACAGCCTTCAGGGGTTCTGTGTGATGAAAGGTATCTCAGGCAGAAGCAGTGTGTTCTGGCATCATTTTATTTCTTTTATGTTGCTTTATCATTACTTTTTCTGGTTTTCTTGTCATCTCTGCTGCAAGTGCGAGGAGCAGATAGGCAGCAGGGATGTGAGGAGTGGCAGGGCCATCCCCTGCTCCAGCAGGTGTATGTGCTGGTGATGGCTTACAGCAATTAATTGCAGCCCAAGGTGGTACGTGTTATATTTAACTGGCCAGAGCATTATCTGCATTGAGAACCTGGATGTCAGCCTGGTCAGAGCATACTGTGTTTGTTTACTCAACTGTTAGATGGGGCTCATCAGACACAAACCAGGCAGAAAGTTTTGAGAAATACTTTGGTCTGAAGTGTTGCTCCTTTTCATCTATCAGACTATGATGTCACTAGCCGAGATGCTCTTTCTGATCTTCCCTGTAAGTAGATGAAGTAGGAATTCCATGTAAAAAGGAAGAGGCAAAACACAAATAAATGGTGTTACTTCTTTGTGCAGCTCACCTTCTTCTTTCACAGTTTTGTCCCTTTTCACTTGCAGGATACTGTTCTTGCAGTGCCTGCCCTTCCTTAAAACTTAGCGGTCACACTTCACAGTGCTTTGAAAGGAAAAACAACAAATGCATCTCTTTTTCCAAAGTTCAGAGGGAAGTTAAAACTGGCCAACTAAATACTTGAGGTGAAAATGGATTATTAAAGATGGAATGACATAAACAATAACATGTCACCACACATTTGGGTGCCAGATGAATTTGATTTACACCTGCAGACTCCTGACCTGCCTCAATGTGGACAGCAAGCTTTTAACCTCATGCCTCTTTCAGGGGGAAGAGTTTCACAGCAGAGGTCAAGTTTTCATCTCTCCTTAAGAGCAAGTCTGAAGGGAATTAAAAAGGGAGGATTTACATAAGTTTGCCGGAAGTTGGGCTACATTTATAGTAGAATTACATACAGAGAAACACTTGTTTTGCTGGAGTGTGTCTTTAGGGTGGTTTGAATAATAGCTTACAGGAGGAAAGCTTTGTTGTTTGATATGAGCAGCAGATTTTGTGCATTAAGGGTTTGTTTCCATATATATTTGTCCTTTGTTTTCCTGTAACTCTTTTTGATTGTTCCATAGCTGTAAACTGTAGTTGCTGTGTATGAGTATATAAAAGTTGTATTTCCTTTTTAGCAATTCTTTGTTAGAAGAACAAATGCCAGTATCTTTTTTGGGGAAAGAAAATCCTCTAGAATCCTTTTGTGCTTCAATCACAGGGGAGTTCATTTCAACATTAATGTCCATGTCCTCAAACTTCCAACCTCTTCTCATTGCAGGATGAACAGTTTTTAGGTTTTGGTTCAGATGAAGAAGTCAAAGTACGAAGTCCCACCAGGTCCCCCACAGGTAAGTTCAAGTTACAGGATTGGGTGTTGACTTTCTGTTTTCTTTTGTGATGGTTTTGCTGTGCCTCTCCTGTTTGTTCCACCAAATCTCATCCACCATAGAAGCCACACCAGCCTTTAGATTCAGTGCAGTTAGTTCTGGATTCTCTATGTCTGATCTATAAAGGAACAGGGAAACTTTGAATAAAGACGTTTTACTGATGAAACCAGTATTTGAAACCTCATGTCAGAGGCAGCTATTTAAAGTGTAAGGGTCTGAAACTGGTTTTACCAGAACACTCTACTCTTCCATCATAATCATCTGCTCAGCTTGGCTTCAACAGCAAACTGTGGTGGTGCAAGGGAAGACCCAGAACTGAAATAGCTGGGCTTGGTGAGGGTGCAGTGAAATGCATTGGTCAAGATGGGTAATCAAGTATTGTGCTTGATGGCTCCGACTCTGTGCAGAGTTTTAACTGTGCTTCAAAGCTAAAACCAGTTTTTAGTAAATTGTCTTGTATCGGCCTCATGTAGGTTGTTCTTGCTCTCTTGACCTCTCCTTTAGCAGTGATCTGCTTAAAAAAACCCCACCAGAAAGTGTTCAAAAGGTGGCATGTGCCTTTGAGAATTATTGCTCCCTCCCAGCATGAAGCTGGTACTGGGCTTGTGCAATTGCATATGTAATTGTTGGGAAAAGACTAGCTTGCATTTTTAAACAGGTTATCTATGTGATGTTTTATGTGGGAAAAGAGGTGTGTTGGGAAGATACTCTCTACATGCAGTGATAAAACTGTTTTTATTTGTTGATTATCTGAAATGTTTTGGCAATGTATGGGCAGCATGACTGATACTGAGTAAATACTTGTGTGATCTGGGTTAGGGTTATTCCATACTTGGAGAAATTTAATATGTTCCCTGCATTCTCTACTTCCCTCTCAGTTAAATCTAGTCCACGGAAACCTCGCGGGAGGCCCCGGAGCAGTTCTGACCGAAGTTCAACTGTACTGTCGGACTCGTCATCAGTGTGTTCCCCTTCAAGCAAGTCTGAAACCACATCCATGGAGAAAGTAAAGAAGAAGGAATCAAAGAGTGGGGAAAAAAGACGAGGAAGACCTCCAACACTTACAAGTGTGAAGTTCAAATTGTCACAGGACAAGGACACATCGGACATTCAGAAGGGCAGCAAAGAAGAAAAAGAGAGTCTGAAAAAAATCAAAAGATCACCATCCACTACATTTCAGCAAGCAACTAAAATCAAGAAATTAAGAACTAGTAAGCTTTCCCCGCTGAAATCTAAATTTAAGCCTGGGGCAAAACTTCAGATTGGGAGGAAGAGTGTTCAGATTGTGCGCAGGAGAGGCAGGCCACCGTCCTCTGAACGTTTAAAGACTTCCTCAACTTTAGTCATAAACTCACAGCTGGAGAAGCCCCAGAGGATTCGCAAAGAAAAGGATGGCACACCACCTCTCACGAAGGAAGATAAGGCTGCTGTCAGACAGAGTCCACGCAGGATTAAACCTGTTAGGATTATACCTTCCACCAAAAGGACGGATGCTGCAATTGCTAAGCAACTCTTGCAGAGGGCTAAAAAGGGAGCACAAAAAAAGATTGAGAAAGAAGCAGCCAAACTGCAGGGCAGGAAGGGGAGAACCCAGCTCAAAAATATTCGGCAGTTCATCATGCCAGTTGTGAGTGCAATCTCTTCACGGATTATCAAAACACCCAAACGGTTTATTGAGGATGAAGACTATGATCCTCCTATTAAAATATCCAGACTAGAATCCACACCAAACAGCAGGTTCAGCACTACATCTTGTGGCTCCAGTGAAAAGTCCAGTGCTGCTTCTCAGCATTCCTCTCAGATGTCTTCAGATTCCTCACGGTCCAGCAGCCCCAGCGTGGATACGTCTACAGACTCCCAGGCTTCTGAGGAGATGCAGATGCTTTCTGAGGAGCGAAGCAATACTCCAGAAGTTCACACTCCCCTGCCTGTTTCTCAGTCCCCTGAAAATGATAACGGTGATAGGAGAAATAGAAGGTTTTCGATAACAGAAAGAAGTTTTGGCCAGAGGACTGCAAAAAAGCTGTCAGCCTTACCAAGTGTGCCACAGCAGCAGTCTTCCTCCTCTCCTCCTCCCCCTTTGCTCACTCCCCCCCCACCGCTGCAGCCTGCTTCAAGCATCTCAGACCATACCCCTTGGCTTATGCCTCCAACCATACCCTTAGCCTCACCCTTTCTTCCTGCTTCTGCTGCACCAATGCAAGAGAAACGAAAATCAATTCTGCGAGAGCCAACATTTAGGTGGACCTCCCTGAAACATTCTAGGTCAGAGCCACAGTACTTCTCATCAGCAAAGTATGCCAAAGAGGGTCTTATTCGCAAACCGATATTTGATAACTTCAGACCCCCGCCACTAACACCAGAGGACGTTGGCTTTGCATCTGGCTTCTCAACACCAGGTGCGACAGCACCCACGCGTCTCTTTTCACTTCACTCTGGAGCCAGGTTTGATATGCACAAGAGGAGTCCTCTGCTGCGAGCGCCACGATTCACACCAAGCGAGGCCCACTCCCGGATCTTCGAGTCTGTAACTTTGCCCTCTTCAGTTGGTCGCGCCACTACAGGGACCTCTGCCACCAGCACGTCCTCTCGGAGACGGAAGAGGAAAGCATTCAGCCCCATCCGATCAGAACCCAGATCTCCTTCGCACTCCATGAGGACGAGAAGCGGAAGGCTTAGTACCTCTGACCTGACAGCTCTCACCCCACAGTCTTCTGTCTCTTCCTCATTAACTAGTATTTCAGTTAGTTCTCTTGCCACTAGTGCCTTAAATTCAACTTTCACTTTTCCCTCCCATTCCCTATCACAGTCTGGGGAATCAGCAGAAAGAAGCCAGAGACCAAGGAAGCAGACGAGTGCTCCAGCAGAACCTTTCTCGTCTGGTAGCCCTACTCCTCTCTTCCCGTGGTTCACATCGAGTCCCCAGACAGAGAAAGGCAAAAACAAGGACAGAGCAGCAGAAGAACTCTCCAAAGATAAAGATGCTGACAAAGGCCTGGAGAAGGACAAGGGCAGAGAGAAAGACAGAGAGAGAGAAAAGGAGAACAAACGAGAGTCAAGGAAAGAGAAAAGGAGAAAAGGGTCAGAAATACAAAGTAGCACTGCTTTGTTTCCTGTAGGTAAAATGCCCAAAGAAAAAGTCAGCGAAGACACTGCAGCATCATCGTCTGCCAAAAAAACTGCAGGGCGGAAGAAGTCTACAGCAGTAGATCCCACAGCAGATGTTTCCACTGCTGCTCTGGTAGATACGACTGTCAAAACCAAAACATCCAAGAAAGGTAGAGGGGGGCTGGACAAATCAGACCTGGAACTCAGCCCTACTGTCCCGTCATTGGAGAAGGAAAAAGCTCTGCGTCTTTCTGCTCCTTCATCAAGCACTGTTAAACATTCTGCTTCCTCCATCAGTTCTATGTTGGCTCAAGCAGACAAACTGCCAATGACTGACAAGAGGGTAGCCAGTCTTCTGAAAAAGGCAAAAGCTCAGCTGTACAAGATTGAGAAGAGCAAGTCCCTCAAACAAGCAGATCAGCCAAAAGCACAGGTATTCCTTTTTCCAAGTTGGGTTTTTTGCTAGAATGCATCTTACTTTGAACTTGTCCTGAAAGTCATGAGTAGCTTTTGTATACTAAGTGTGAAGAATTAATGTGTCAAGCTAAGCAGCTGTTAGTGCAACAGATGGCAAACGACCCAAAAACAAGAAGCCCTGGGCAGAAGCTGAGGGGAAGAGGGAGCTGCTGTATAGTCAGCTCAGAGGGGAGCTGCATGCATTTTGGAGACCAGTACAGCATAGCTGCTTATTGGGTTTCTCTGAATAAATCTAAGCAAAGCGGTTATCTAGAGTAGTACTTGCTCTGAAAAGTGTGGTTCCAGCAAAATGTAGTGTCTGTCTTGACCTTGAGGTTTCTTGGGGGCCTACCTGGAGTGTAAACTTGTCTTCTGAAGGAAAGTTGTTTCTTGATCTTTCTAGTTTTTAACTTTATGCAGTGATCTCTCACTTATAGGAGGGAGGAAGATCCATTGGAATTTTGCATCTCATCTGGGGAGCTGCTTCCTACCACTTTCCTCTTTTCCCTCTTCCCCATCCTTTCTTGGGTAACTGAGGCTTAGCAGGCAGAGTCTGTTTTTATCCCGATTCTTACAAACTGCAAGCTTAGAAATCTCTATTACATGTTTCTCAGCCTCATTTTGGTAACTTTCTTAGGAATACTATCTGCTCTCATGTTCTGAAATGTAGGGGCAAGAGAGTGATTCATCAGAAACGTCAGTCCGAGGACCACGAATAAAACATGTTTGCAGGAGAGCAGCTGTCGCGCTGGGCCGCAAGCGAGCAGTGTTTCCTGATGACATGCCCACTCTGAGTGCCTTACCGTGGGAAGAGCGGGAGAAGATACTGTCTTCCATGGGGAATGATGGTGAGTTAGGATTTCTAGTTTTCATTCATGGGTCCATACAAAGTCAGCTTCTGTTGACTGCTTAAAATGAGGACTTCAAGTGATTAACAAGGGAAAGTATGTTAAAGAGCTCTGGGCTCTCTGTTACAGTGACACTCAAACAGGGTTAATCCTTTAAGCTATTAGGAATGGTGTTAAATATGTGTGTTCTGCACCAAACCTGTGTTCTGCCCAGGGACATGTGTGCATATACATGTGTACACACATGCATCCACGCAATCACATACATTTGTGTGGCTCTGCACATGAACTTAGGCTTCATGAGCTAAATTAGACACTCCTGAAACTTTTTTAACATCAGAAAATTCACATTAGGAATGTTCTTTTGGTAGATAAGTCATCGATAGCTGGCTCAGAAGAGGCTGAACCTCTTGCTCCACCTATCAAGCCTGTTAAGCCGGTCACCAGAAACAAGGCACAGCAAGAACCTCCGGTGAAGAAGGGCCGGCGCTCCAGGCGCTGCGGGCAGTGTTCGGGCTGCCAGGTTCCAGAGGACTGTGGTGTCTGCACTAACTGTCTAGACAAACCCAAGTTTGGTGGGCGCAATATAAAGAAGCAGTGCTGCAAGTAAGTGTGTCTGAGAAGCTGTTGAGCTAATCCCTGCTCTGAGTGGGATAAGTGTACCCACACTCTGGGCCAGGAATAGCAGATTTACCCGGTGTCATGGGCTTGTACTGAGCTTGACCTGGGCTGAGGCTTGATCAAAGGAAGGGACTGTAAACAGTTTGAGAGTCAGGACCACAATTCAAGGTGCAGTAGTTATAAGCTCTTTCTCTGGAGTTCACTTCTAGTTTATTCTCCTCAGTTTGATGGAAGTGGCAGAGTATTGAGGATTCTTCAGTGTAAGTCCTGTGGCTTTTGTTAGGCAGTACAGGATTTTGCAAGGAAGGCAATATGCACATAAATATTTATCTCTTATTCTCCCAAATTGCGTTTGTGAAGAGCTTATGTTTTCAAGCTGGTGTTTATTTAGTTTATATACACTTCGTATATCAAAGGTGTCTCTGGATATCATTAGGAAATACCACTCTTCCATGATTTCTTCTGTCATTTTTCATACATATCACTTAGACTGAACCTTTTTCTTTTTTAAATTGCTGCATTATTTTACCAGACTAGATAAACTGTCTGAAAAGGCAGCAGCTAAAGTGGCACCAGTAGATTGTTGTGGTATAAGAGCTACTTAAAAAGCCTTGCTGTGAGAATTGCTGTGTGAGAACACTCTGCAGACTGGAAGGAGTTCTACACTCAGCAGCTTTGCCCAGGCTTTGAGCCATGAGCATGAGCCAGAGCCATGAGCCCTGCTACAAGAATGGAGGCAGAAACAAAGCCTGGCCCAGTCTACAGAAAACATTATATACCAGGCATAAGACAAATTGGGAATAAAGTTGAATAAAGTTAGCAAAAGGCTTGGTCCCCTAATCCAGTCCCACTCCAAGAGTACTTGGTTTTGTCTGAACAAAAGTAGTGTGTGTATTAATAATGTTATTTTCAGTTTTTGAGGCTGAGTATTTACAGACTGCCCTCTTAATGTCTGCATCTTTGTTCTGATTTCATGACATATTCTCTTTTTTTTTTTAGAATGAGGAAATGTCAGAATCTACAGTGGATGCCTTCAAAAGCTTATCTCCAGAAGCAAGCTAAAGGTAGGCTAAAAGACTTGCCTTGAGTATTGGACAAGAGAGAAGTTTTCTTTTCATAGGTTTCACTCTGTGTGCTGTTGTTTTAGCTACACTAAGCTTATAAAGGTTATTCTGCTGGGAGCCAACCTACCTGCACTGTTGGTGGCAGGTGCAAGGGGCAGGAGAGATGTGAGTACTGACCGACATTGGACATGCCAGTGTCTCTCAGAACTGCACTAGTGCTGACAGGACTGGCTTGTTTCCTTCCTTTTCCTTCCTCACAAAGTCTGCTCTCAGCTCTGAATCTGTGTTACTGCAGGAGGGTGTTGCTTCTTGCTGTTGCAAATAGGGGCCCAAGGTGTGAGAGAACATGGATTAAAGTACAAGCCAAATTTATTTTCTGAGTACAGTTTTTTCTTTTGTATGACAGAATGACAAAGTTCTGAATCCAAGTGTCTGTATCCTTGTTTCAAAAGAGCAGCAAATAATTGTAAGTCACACCGTTTTGTTTGTGTTGCTTTATCTGTGCTTTTTTTCATTAGCTGCAAAAAAGAAAGAGAAGAAATCCAAGACAAATGAGAAGAAAGAAAGCCATTCTGGAAAAAACCAGTTGGACTCTGGACAGAAACAAACTCCTCAGGCTGTTGTACCAAGAGAAGACAATTCTGGGAAGAAGAGCAATGAGCCTGCCCGTAAGCCTGTTGAGGAAAAGCATGAGGATGGGAATTCCTCCGTTCCTGTGTCAGAGCCCAAACAGGTCCCTGCATCTGGTACCAGAAAGACTGGCAAGCAGATTTCCCAGCCAGTCCAACTCCCTCCTTCTCAGCCATCAAGCTCAGGACCTTTGAAAAAAGAAGCACCTAAACTTAGCACTTCTGAGCCCAAGAAAAAGCAGACTCCCCAGCCAGAAATAGGTAAATGGGACTATTTATCCTCAATATGTTTGAGTCATGTTAAGTAACAATATTGCTAAAAGCTGATGCATTTTAAATCTGATGAATGCTTTATGGTGCGTTGAAATCTCATCAGATTACTTTGGAAATTTTGATTAGAGCTGGCTTCCTTTTTATTGAGCCACAGTGTATGTTAGGGCAGGGTGAAAGACGGCTATCCTGGTTGGGACTCTTGAGTCATACAGTTTTGTGGCAGTCTTGAAGTGTATTTGCAGTATTGTTAGGTCTGTCAGCTTCCCATTCTGAATGTGAAACCAGAAGGATGTAATCTTTTACTACAGAAGTGTAGTCCACTATTGTGTTTAGTGCAGAGCAGTGTGAACAGTCACCAGCCAGGCAGCTCTGGGATTTCTGTGGCTTTGCACCCACAATGCTCCAGATTGTGAGCAGAGCAAACTCTTCTTCTAGTGTTGCTTCAAAGAAACTGCTCATAGCTGGGGAGGCGCAGCCACAGAAGAGGGTGGAAAAGTTCTAGTCTAAACCTCATCGCACATTACCCAGCTGATATTTTTCCCTTTTCTTCTCTACAGGTGGCTGTTAGTTTCTTGAAATACTCATAATTTTTCCCCCCCTTCCTAGGCACAGAACAAAGCAAACAGAAAAAAATTGCTCCCCGTCCAACTTTCCCTGTGAAACAGAAACCAAAAGAAAAGGTGAATACTGTTTTTTATATAGTCAGTAAAATTTCAAGCACCTGGAACTTCTGTCTAGGAAGTAGAACCATATTGCTTAAGCCTCTGCAGTTTTTTTTTTTATATAGTTCTTAACAATGTTAGGTTTTCCCTTGTGGCAGTATGTGGGTAGCAAAAACTGTGGCCTATGCCTAAGATTCTGTTCAGATGTTACTTTGGTATCTAAGATTTGTGTGTTGGAGGGTGGAGGCTAGCTTTTCCATAAAAAATGCAGCTACCTTTGTCAGAAATAGCTCAGTCATGGAAAAAAGAAATTGTCTTATGTTGTCACTAGAGGACACGAAATGATTCACATGACCACTCTCAGTGTCAGAACAAAAACCCCGTGACTTTATTCTCTGACTCCAGCATTTATAGATTCTCGACAATGACCAGGGATTGGATAATTAAGTTAATCACCTTCCCAAGCACACTGGTCATGAGAAATGTCCATCAAAAGACGTTTCTTAGGAGGAATGTGATAAACAACTTATGCTTACAGGACTTTCATGGGAAAGTAACTAAAACGATGAAAACATTATCAGAAGGCTTAATTTTCAGAGTGACATTATGTAAACCTGAGGGAGAAGCGAATAGAGCCTGTTTATACCTAGAGTTGCCCCACTGCATCCAAACACCAGCCCATGCTCTGATGAAAGAACATTGGTAGAGTACATGGAATTAGGACTGTAATTGCATATGGAATGCTCTTAGGAAATGGTTTGTAGAATGGTCACTTCCCTGCAGCTTTGTAACACTCATTAATTTTGTGCTGTTTTGGGGGTTTGTCTGTGAATTACTTATGGTATTGGATGGAACTGCTGGTTGAGTTCTAACATCCAGAGTTGGGATTAATGCAGGCTCCTTTGCTTGACCAGGAAAAGCCCCCTCCTCTAAGCAAGCCAGAGAGCAGCACACTGAACTTGCTCAGCACTCTGACTAACGGCAGCAGTTCCAAGCAAAAGCCACCTACAGATGGAGTCCACAGAATCCGGGTGGATTTCAAGGTAGAGGACAAAATGTTTTAAGTATTTGAATGTCCCCTGGCTCTAAACACTGGAACTAGAGTCCCCTGAAAGTGCTGGCAGTAACTGCTGAGTTTGTGTGTCTGGTACCTTTCAGAGGAAGCTGCAAAACAGGAGCCTCATGACAAGTCACTTGGTTGATTTTTAAAAGCTTGTTATGCCTTTTTTTTCTTATAATTAGAGTACTGGATGAAGAGACACTTAAAGCTTTAAAACCTTAACTGTCAATGTGTGAGGATGAGCAAGAATTTGAGGTTTATGAAGAATTATTCCATTAAGATGGAACTTTAAAACCTTACCACAACTTGAGCCAACAAGATTTGGGGAAAATGTTAGTAACTTGTAATTCACAACGTTTGGGGTATATCTGGGGTTTTAATGATAAATCATGTACATTTTTGAATAACAGTGTTGAAATAATAATAAAATATTTTCCTAATAATTTTTCAGTCCATCTATAAATGTTGATACTGGAGATCATAGTGAGATCTCATAAGTGTTTTATACAACTATGGAGCTTTAATAAAGTATAATTCTTCTGAAATTTCACTTCTAGTAATACTTGTGCCATTGTGAAAAGCCTTGTCCTGTTCCTTAGATTTGCTTTCCCTAGAAGGAAGGCTCTAGCATGCCATTGAGTGCTCTCGGCAGGAACAGCGCCGAGGTGTGACTCCCAGAATACACTGTAAAGTAGACTGAGGTAGATGTTGAAATTATTTCAGTTTGAGGCGTCTTAATCACAGGCCCAGAACTGAGCAGTGGCGTGAGCATTTTGTACTGATGTTGTATTGCCTTGTTCTGCATGGTGATGTGTCCTTTTGTACTTTCAGGAGGACTGTGAAGTGGAGAATGTTTGGGAGATGGGTGGGTTAGGCATCGTCACCTCGGTACCTATTACTCCCAGGGTGGTGTGTTTTCTCTGTGCCAGCAGTGGACATGTGGAGGTAAAGCATTGTGTTCTGCTGTTGATGACTTAATTACAGCACTGTATTGTTACAAAAACAAATAAATAAAAATTATATTCACCTTAATCCAGAAGAAATTAAAATAATACCTGTAAATCTGTCCTTGCTAGAATTTGTCCCAAGATGCTAAAGTGCAATGTATTTAAAATCAGTTTGGAAACTTCAACGGTACTTTTTTGGAGGTGTGTTGTGAGGAACTTTGAAAGCACCTGTGTCTCTAAATTTTGGAACTCACATCTGATGTAAAGCAGGAGCTTTGCTCTCTTTTAACCTGAAATAAGAAAGACTGCCCAGTGGTGCTAAAGACTTTTTAGGCAGCCTTGATTTTTCCAAGTGTGTCTGTACCTGCCAAGAGCTGCAGACTGTTACATGACTGGAAAGGTTCTGGCGCTGCCTCAAGAGCTGGATTGAGATGTCTTAAATGCTTTTCCAGGTTTAGATAGGTGCCTTCTCAGCATCTTCAGACCAGCTGACCTGGGTGCTATTGCTCTAGGAGGGCCTGAGTTCTGATGAGTGGACAGGGGAAAAGGGGGTTAAGTTCTGGATGTGGACATCAGTGCACTTGAGGTCCACAGGCCCTGTGGGGCATGGAGCCATCCCCTTCTCAGTCAGGGCCCCCCAGGGGACAAACGATTCCCACATCCCCTGTGAACCTGCAGTGTGTGTGCTCTGAGGGTGATTGTTGTTCTCATACGACCATCCTTGTGCAGGATATAGAGAAACTAGAAGAGTTTCTTCTTTGTAATGGCAAGGTGGGCTAACAGAGGGAGAGACGCTTTGCATGTCTCTACTTCATGCACCAAGTGTGTCTTGTGGTGCAGTTGGCTTGTAATACAGGGAGGAAGTGAGGGAGGGAGATCCTGAAGAGCCCTATAGGCCTTTATCAATGCTCAAAGCACTTAGATAACGTGTACCAGAATCCTGGTGGCTGTGAGGTGTCCAGTAGGTATTTGGGTTACCTGAAATACAGAGTTTCCCTCCTAAAATCTTGTTCTGTCAGTTGTAAAGCAGAATTCAAAATAGTTCAGAGCACAAGGGGGCTGGTTTGGGAACTTGGAGCAGTTTCTGCTTTGCTAAAACCTGCCTCTCCCCCCTTGCAGTTTGTATATTGCCAGGTCTGCTGTGAGCCCTTCCACAAGTTCTGCCTGGAGGAGAGTGAGCGACCCCAGGAAGACCAGCTGGAGAACTGGTGCTGCCGTCGCTGCAAGTTCTGCCACGTCTGTGGGAGACAGCACCAGGCCACCAAGGTACCCCACAACCACCGGGAGACCCAGCAGCACCCCCACTGCTCCCAGGGTGCCTCTGGCTTCAGAGGCTGGCCAGCAAGCATGTGCCAGGAGCAGAGACTCTGTGTGCTGGGGAGGAGGCCTCTTGAGTTGCTCCATTGCAGCTTCTTTCTCATAACCTGAATGGGGGATCCAGTAAAAAAATAAAGAAGTCCAGAATTTTGTATCTTTTTGCAGGGTGTCAGTACCAATGCTTTTCTCCCTTATTCCTGTAGCAATTGCTGGAGTGTAACAAGTGCCGAAACAGCTATCACCCCGAGTGCCTGGGCCCCAACTACCCAACAAAACCCACCAAGAAAAAGAAAGTTTGGGTGAGGGATATTAATTTCTTTTTTTGGGTAATTAATTTGTTGACTGACAGTAATGCCATGGAGCAGAGCTCTGCAGGTGATATGCTCTGATGCAGTTCCTCATCTCATCAAGGCAAGGTGCCTATTGTGTCAGACAATACATTTGGAAATAGATAGTGAGATGGCTGTTTGATAAGATGTTCTGAAAAAGCAAAATTTTTAAAGATACTACCTCTTTTTTTCAGTTACAGTAGGTCATAAGATCATAGTAAGTGTTTTGGTTGTAGTCCCATAACATGGAAGAAGGTCTTTAAAATAGAAGTGTTTACTTTGTTAACAAACCCATTGGTACTGGTATTAAGAGACAATTTGGATTAGTTTGCTAATTTGTGTCTTTCAAGCTTTTGTTCTAAACAAGTGCCTGTGGTGTATTTGTTACTAAGACTTTGTCTACATGTTTCATTCTACAATGTACAGAGTTTAAAAAATATTGAAATAGGACTCTATATTTTAGATGAGAAGAAATGCCACAGCTACATGTGTTTTATGTGATATTTTCTTCAGTATAAATATGAAGGACAAAAAATGATACTGTGATTTGGTTAAGTGTTTTTTCTTGTTGCATTATCACCATCTTACCTTGAAGGAAGTGAGCTTGGTACTTTTCAGTGAAAGTTTCAGCATTTAAAACTTGTTCTGTTGGGTAACATCTCTGCACTCATGAAATAATAAAAATTATGAAATGTGTTGAAAGCACATGAATTTCTTTCATTAATTATTTTTCCAGATATGTACCAAATGTGTTCGCTGCAAGAGCTGTGGTTCAACAACACCCGGCAAAGGGTGGGATGCACAGTGGTCTCATGACTTCTCCCTGTGTCATGATTGTGCCAAACTCTTTGCTAAAGGTATGTAAAGTTGTTATTCTTTACATCAGGAGCTTCTTTAGCTGCTTGGGTTTGAATCAGCCAGTGTGAGTGGGCAGAAGGTTAGCGTGGCACCTGAGCTTGGCACAGTCCAGGCAGCAGTGCAGGCTGGTTGTGGTTGAGCCTGAAAGTGCACATAACAGTTAAATGTTAAAGCCAGGATCTCAGGTTGTGCAGTGGCTCACCAAAGTCACCACTGCTTTATTGTCAGAGTTTGGGGCTTTCAGCATGTAAACACTCTGCCATATGAAGGAATTGTTGCACACCTGTTGGACCAGGGTTTCAAATAGCAGTTGAGGAAAAGACATTTTAAGATACTTCTGACTTAGAAGCAATTTAAAAGCAAAGTTTATATTCTAAAGTAGTTACTCCTTTTGTTATTTGCTGTACATGATGCCTTTGAACCTCAGAGGGCATTCTGAGGAAGAATCTTAGGAGAGAAAGTCTTGAATGTTCCATATAATTTCCTGCCTATGTGTCTTCTTTGTCCTTTCATTTTGCTCTTGCATGTAGTATTTTGTTAGTCTCGCCACGCCCATAAAATGTCTGTCCAGCCATGGAATTCTAAAGTAGTTGGTGGTCTTCCAAAGGTATTTTTTGTAGCCTTGTAACAGTAGAGGGGACTGTGCTGGCAGTTTACCTGGGGGGGTGTTTGTAGCTGCTTTCTTAGCACACCAGTAAGTAACCACACAACCTTTAAAGGTGTGTTTGGCATCCAAACTTCCAATAAGATCCCCTTTTGTTTGCAGGAAATTTTTGTCCTCTCTGTGACAAATGTTATGATGATGACGACTATGAGAGCAAGATGATGCAGTGTGGGAAATGTGACCGCTGGGTCCACTCCAAATGTGAAAACCTTTCTGGTAAGGAAATCCTTCATCCACTTAAGAGCATGGGATGGTGATTAGACCAAAGCAATCAAGTCTTGGACCTTTCTACTTGAGTGTTACTTTAACATGCTCACTTGTGACCTACCTGAAAAATGCCTGTAGAGTGGCAACAGATAAACCAGTGCTAATACTAATGACATCATGAAAGCACAGGACTTTCCTCAAAGGCTGTGTCCCTCAATTAGCTGCACAAGGTACAAGGGGCTTTTGTTAAATAAAAAGTGTCACTTAGGCAGTAAGTGCAGGGCAGGGATTTTTCCCTGTATCCTTCAGTAAAGTAGTTCAGATGGTTACCTTGTCTTCTTTTGTCTCCAGATGAAATGTATGAGATACTCTCCAACTTGCCCGAGAGCGTTGCATACACCTGCATTAACTGTACAGAGCAGCACCCTGCAGAATGGCGTCTGGCACTGGAAAAGGAGCTGCAGATTTCCTTGAAGCAGGTTTTAACAGCCCTGTTGAATTCCAGAACTACCAGCCACTTACTGCGGTATCGACAGGTAAGCTGGAGCCTGTGCCCTGTTGGTGTTTCTCTGGCTTTGAGTGTACATAGCATTCAGTTGAGTTGTAGAGGTGTTGCCTCATACTGCAGAAGTGTCTTCATCGCACTTGGAACAACATGCGCTGTGATTTATTTATATTTTTTCTTTCTTTTGTTGATTCTTTGGATGCAGGGAAATGGGTATCTGTGATACAGCTTGTGAAGCTGAAAGAAAAATAGGGTGAAGTTCTTCAAGGAATGGGAGGATTTAGCTCTGTCATTATGAAGGTGGTCTTCGGACAGAAGAACGGGATCTTTGTCTTGAAATATGCACTCAGAAATAAAACTTCTGAGCAATGAGTGTGATCCTTATGCCTGATGGCTCTGTCCTGCTGTGCACCTTAGAGGTCTCAGCAGAAAGCTGGTTAAGAGCTCTCCTTTGTTTCTCCTACATTTTGACAGAAATTCAGAGCTTGGGTCTCCTTTGCTTCACATTATCGAGAATCCTTGGACCAGTAAATGAGCTTGGGAGTGTATCTTCAGGAGCAAATGCAGCAGCTGCATTTCAGTAGTTAACATCCCTCTGTCTCGTTGCTGATGTTCACAGGCAGCAAAACCGCCTGATTTAAATCCTGAGACAGAAGAGAGTATCCCATCCAGAAGCTCTCCTGAGGGTCCCGATCCTCCTGTCCTAACAGAAGTCAGTAAACAGGAGGAACAGCAACCTCTCGATCTGGAAGGAGTGAAAAGAAAAATGGATCAAGGAAGTTACACTTCTGTGGTATGTCAAGTTGTCATGTTCCACTCTGTTAATAGACACTGTGAAATGCTTTATTCCATATGGTCTTCATAACTGAGCAGCTTAAGCCTTTTCTTTAGGAAGAGGGAAGCAGGTTATCATGCTGCTGAAAATAGTTCTGGCTGGTGCTGGTTAATATTGGTCCAGACACAAGTAATTGACACTTTTGTGGGGCTCTCTATAGCCAGCAGTGGTACTTGGTTAGACCCCATTTGCTTTTAGTCAGACATTTATATACATAAATGTTCAGGTCATCCTGACCATGCAAATTCTGACTGAAGGTCTGGCCAAATAGCCCTGCTGCAGTTGGTTACCTGGAAACTAAGGATTCATGGGTGGAGGGTTGATCTCTTCAGAGGTCATTTACAGAAAAGGCTAGTGTGCAAATCAGTTCTCTTTGCACAGAGCAGCCTTTTTCTCTTTTTTCCTAGAGAATTCATAATCTTGAGGAACCCTGTATATTGCAAAGTGCTTGGCAAATGTTGTGGTGCCAGATTTTGACCAAATCCTTCTGGGATAGTTAGTCTTGCAGATTTAAGACCAGTCAGCAATCAGCTGAAGTGAATGGTTGTGGGTGTAGCAGCTCTGCCAGCCAGTTTGCAAATCTAGAGGGCTGCTTGCTTCTTCACAGCCAAATTCCCGTTCTGCTTTTAAGCTGATGCTCTAGTTCAATTTTACTGAATCTGAATGTTCACTTGATGCCCTAAAAAATTAGTGGGTGGTACAGCTGTGCAAAAGACAATTGTGTTAATGTGAAGCTTTGTGGATTTCTTACAGTTGGATTTTAGTGATGACGTCGTGAAGATAATTCAAGCAGCCATTAATGCTGATGGTGGGCAGCCAGAGATTAAGAAAGCAAACAGCATGGTCAAGTCCTTCTTTATTCGGGTGAGCTGGCCTACAGTTACTTTGAAACCTGCTTGGTATCCTACCACTGCTTATTGATGTTGGAGTCCAAAGGGCCACCACATTTAGCCCTGCTTGGGTCTTTCCAGGAATAAAATAGTACATTGTCAGAGTTGTTAATGTTAATGAAATGTTACTAGTTGTGCATTTACAGTACACGCTGTACGTTCAGACAGCTGAACGCCTTTGAAATTTTTGGTATGTTGTCTAACTTTTCTAATGGGGTGTTGTTTTCCTTTAGCAAATGGAGCGTGTTTTTCCATGGTTCAGTGTAAAAAAGTCCAGATTCTGGGAGCCAAATAAAGTAACAAGCAAGTAAGTAATTGTTCTGTATCCAGCTGCGACACCCCGCCGTTTGCCAGCTGGCTGAGCAAAACGTATTGAAAGAGCCTGTTTGCAGGGTTGGAATTTCTGGGGTTTTTTCCCCTAAGAAGTTACACAGTAATCCCATTCCCATGTTTTGCACACGCTTCCTTGTTTTAAGCAGAGTAACCAAAATTCTTAATTAGAACTAGGTGTACTGTGGCTTGTCAGTCCTCACCTTCTTTCCTTCTCCTTCTTCTCACACCCCCATTTGGGGCTTACCCTTTAAAGAAGCGGACAGCCACATCACAAAGCTTAAAATGTGACTGGTGGGGAACATGTTAGGGCTGTAGGTAATTAATGGAGTTGTTGCTTGGGGGGTGGATGTCAGGCAGACCCTGGTAGGCAGGGTATAAGGACCTGTGGTGCAGCCATGTGTGACACTGACTCCTTGCTTCATCTCAGCAGCGGTATGTTGCCGAATGCGGTGCTGCCCCCGTCACTCGACCATAATTACGCTCAATGGCAGGAGCGTGAAGAGAACAACCGCACTGAACAGCCCCCTCTGATGAAGAAAATCATTCCAGCTCCAAAACTCAAAGGGCCTGGAGAGCCAGATTCACCAACTCCCCTACATCCTCCTACACCTCCCATCTCTGGTAAGAGAGCCAATGTCAGGATTGCCAATCCCAAACACAGAAAATGCAGCTGTCTTTGAGGCCTCTGTGACCTGAAATCATTCAGAGGCAGTAACATATGTGATGTTTCTGAGCCAAGCTTGGACCCAAGAATGCTTTTGCACCCACCTCTTTTCCCCAGAATGAAGGTTGTGCAGAGGCATGTGCTTTGCTTTCCAAGCTGACTATTGAAAAGTCTTCTACTATGTTCACTTACTGACAGTCTCTCCAGATGATTTTTTGCCACCCTGAATTTCAAGAATAAATACTGTTCTCTCTTTTAACTCTAAGGCTCTGACAGAAGCAGAGAGGATAGTCCTGAACTGAACCCACCTCCAGATGTGGAAGACAACAGGCAGTGTGCATTGTGCCTGAAATACGGTGATGACAGTGCTAATGTGAGTATCTGCCCCATTGCCCTTTCTGTAGGAGCCCACTTAAGCAGTGCTGTGGATTTGGCACTGTGGATAGGCTGGATGGGTTTTGTGCATTGTTGTGTTCTCTAGAACATCTGAAAAGAACATTTCCTTCTGTTTTTTAGGATGCTGGACGTCTTCTCTATATTGGCCAAAACGAATGGACACATGTGAACTGTGCTTTGTGGTCAGCAGAAGTGTTTGAAGATGATGATGGTTCTCTGAAAAATGTGCACATGGCTGTGATCCGGGGAAAGCAGCTGGTGGGTACAAGCAAAGAACAGTTCACTAAACTTAATGCTGATTTAGCATCACAAGGCGGGAGCCCAGCTAAAAGATGCCTTGTGTGCATTTGTTCTTCTCTCTCCTTTCCTTGCAGTATTTTTTAACACTATATATAGTAGAACTGACTAAAGCTATTTGGAAAGTTATTTTATCCTTGCTCAGTTCAGAAATATTGTGGAGACTAAGTGAAGCTTGCAAATGTGAGGATTGGATATGAAGCACAGGCAGGAAAGTCTGGGAAAGGCCTGGAAGAACCAGTCCACAAATGAAAAGTTGTTCCATGTGAGGGATTCTTCTTCCTTTCACCTCCTCCTCCAGGTCTCTCGCTTCTGTGCGTGAGTTACTGTAGTGAAATGGAGCAGCAATGAAGCATGAGATCAAGCATCACTCTGAAATTCTGTCTGTGCAAAAAAACTCCAGCTGATAACAGCAATGGTTTTAGAAGAGATTAATTTTTTGGTTTTTTCTTTTTGCTCTTGCAGAGGTGTGAGTTCTGCCAGAAGTCAGGTGCCACAGTAGGCTGCTGCCTCACTTCCTGTACCAGTAACTATCATTTCATGTGCTCACGAGTCAAGAACTGTGTCTTTCTGGATGATAAGAAAGTTTATTGCCAGAGACATCGTGACTTGATCAAAGGAGAGGTAAGATTCTTCTTTCACTCTCTGCCTCACTCTGTTAAGGTGGTGTTAGCCTGTAACTATGAGCATTTTTTAGAAGTTTATGTTCAACATGTTTCTTGCTAACAAGGGCTGGACTGCATTGCTCTTAAAAAGAAGTCAGTAATATAACTAGCCTGGGGAAGTTTGGCAAGTGGTGCTCTGTGCTAATTCAAAAACCAAAAGACCAAACTGAGGATCAAGTAGGACAAACTGCATAGCATTCATGTGGTGGTTCCTTTAATTAACAAGTGGTTTTGTTGGTTCTTGGTCCAGGTGGTTCCTGAGAATGGGTTTGAAGTTCTTAGGAGAGTTTTTGTGGACTTCGAAGGGATCAGTTTGAGAAGAAAATTTCTTAGTGGCTTGGAACCAGAGAACATCCACATGATGATTGGTATGATCTAGTCTCTGGAAACTTGATCCACCTTTGGTCCTTTGGAATCTGGTTCACAGAACTGTTCCTTCTCTCTGCTCAGGTTCAATGACGATAGACTGCTTAGGAATTCTGAATGACCTCTCAGACTGTGAAGATAAGTTGTTTCCCATTGGCTATCAGTGAGTATAAGCTTTTGTTTCTTGTTTCAAGATTTGATGTCTTTCAGTATATTCCATGTCAAACTAGCACTGAAGTAACATATGGGAAAATTGACTGTAGTTTTTCCTACACTGTTGAGGAATCTCTGATTAAGCCGGGTGTGCAGTGTGTTCTACCAGGAGGCCTTTGGCCAATGTAGTTTTGAGAAATGGAAAATTTAAAACAAAAACAAGGTTTACTCAACTGTTGAGTAAATTGGTTTGTTTGAATTATCTTCCAGGTGCTCCAGGGTGTACTGGAGCACAACAGATGCCAGGAAGCGCTGTGTGTATACCTGCAAGATCATGGAGTGCCGACCTCCGGTCATAGAACCTGACATCAACAGCACTGTAGAGCATGATGATAATCGAACAATTGCTCATAGCCCAGTTCCCCTTACAGGTAATCTTTTAAGGACTTTGTGAAAGTATATTCTCTGTATGGTTTTGCCATACATCTCCTAAACCAAATCTGTTAAGTTTGGACAAGAATCCAATTCAGACTTCCATGTTACAGCACCTTAAGACTTTAAACTCCTGGATGTACTACTAATTTTGAAAAGAAACACTGCTGCAGGGATAGTTTCTAGTCTACAACTCAGAGAATTTTCTAGTGATCTAAAACTGTTCAAACTGTTGGTTAGTCTGTAGTAAGGGGGATGTTCAATAGAATGTTGAATGGTTATATTGTGCTTCTGTATTTCCAAATTGCTTCCTTGAATCCAAGGGTAAAGCTGTGAAAGATTTTTAAAATATTTATTGTTATTGTCATTGTTAACATAGGATCTCAAACTCTATAAATATATAGTGGAATTTCATGTGTAAGATGTGCAATTGCTACAAGTATTTGAAAACATTCTTATAGCAAGGAACCAGACATTATCTCTTGTCCGATCTTTGACTTTGTGTTTATTTAACGAATACCCTGATTCTCCAAGTGGAATATGATAGAAGTATATACTTGATCAGATCATAGCATTTAGGGCTCAGTGATGACTTACACTGTTGTTTTTTCTCTTTTATATGACAACAGAAATTCTACCAAAAGACACCCGAAATACACCTGAAATTGTAAACCCACCATCACCAGATCGTCCCTTGCATTCTCAGACCTCTAGTTCCTGTTACTATCCAGTGGTCTCAAAGGGTCCCAGGATCAGGGCACCAAGTTACCCATCTGCACAGAGGTCTCCTGGCTCAAGGCCATTACCCTCTGCAGGTATTTCTAGTACTGTTGATTTTGATTAAGATTTATTTTGGAAATATTTTTGGTTTAGTTCCTGTCTTTCTTGGCTTCTTTCAGAATGTGTTTAGTTACTGTTTCTAGAGAAAGTAGTGAAATGGCAATAGGTTGAGGAAAGTTCTAACAATACACAGTAGAGATGGCCTGCAGGGAAATGAGCAACTAAAACAAACAGTCCCTTGGGATGAGGAAGAGGCAGGATTTGTGCCATATAGTAGTTGTGAGCCAAAAGCACTGTGATATCAGTTAGGGACTTAATATCTCAGTATTTTTCCAGAGAGACTCAAAAATCTGGTATTGTAATTCAGCAGTTATTTCTGACTAATGTTTTCTTTGAAACTGATGGTGAAAATTCACATCTAAAGTTCAGGTACCAAACCCTGAGATACAAACTTGCTGAATCCTGGGTGATGGTATCAGGTTTTTAACACCTATCTAAAGTATCAATACCATGTGTTGGTGTTGTTTAGCTGAAAAGTTTTGTTGGGTTTTAATTTCTTGTGTTTTGTGTGAAGGAATTGGATGTGCATTCACTGTGAAGGTTTAAGATCACCTGACAGTATTTCTTGCTTTTGTTTCTCAGGAAGTCCTACCCCAGTGACCCATGAAATAGTGACAGTAGGAGATCCTTTGCTATCCTCAGGACTTAAGAGCATTGGTTCTCGGAGACACAGCACCTCTTCTTTGTCACAGCAACAATCAAAACTCCGGATGATTTCCCCTACACGAGCTGGGAACACGTACTCGAGGCACAGTGTGTCTTCAGTTTCCAGCATGGGAGCCTCTTCAGAACATGAACCGACTGTCAAAAGTACTGACCGCTTTGTGGGGTCGGTGAGCACAGGTCCTCCGAGTGCTCCACTTCAAAGTTGCTCTACCAGTTCAGGCTCACAGAAAACAGTGGCTGCAACTGGAAATAAAACTTACCAGCTGGATGCATCTCAATCTACAGAAGGGAAACATTCCAGCAGTTCAGATTTAATAGCCAAAGGTGCACCTTTGAAGGGGGAGAAAATGAAAACCTCAAAGGACCCAGATTATTCGTCTCATACTTTCGTTTCTGGAGGAAATTCCAAAGTGTCCACTCAGCCAACCAGTTCATCAGGCACAGAAATGAGTAAAATAGGAACCTTTCAAGAGTGTTCAGGATCATTTTCTTCCAAAGAAGCAATACCCTTTCCACCTTTGCATCAGAGAGTCACAAGGAAAGACAGAGATCAGCACATGGAAACTTTACAGCCAGAGAAAACAACTGTGGTTGATGAGATGGATGCAAAAACCTTGAAGGCTGCTGGACTAAACAACAGATCTCCTGCAGCAAGTGAGCAGGTAGTTGCTGCCCCCAGAGATAAACGTCAGAAAGGCAAAAAGTTAATGAAAGACAGTTTTAAAGAGAAGCATTCCTTGAAATCTCTTACAGAGACAAGTCAAACAGTAGGCAGTGATGAACTGAAACCAGACTTTGGCAATCAGGGTTTGGCAACTGAAAAAATTACCCAGAGGTTATGTAATAATATTCCTGCTGAAAAAGCTGGTGAGAAGTCTCCATCTTCACAAGGGCCATCCAGAGGGTCTGCAGTGCAGGTTGAAGCAGCCCCTAAGGAATCGCAGGCACCCAGGAAACGAACTGTTAAAGTCACTTTGACTCCTCTCAAGATGGAAAGTGAAAACCAGTCTAAAAATGCACAGCAGGAAAGTGATGCTGAAACTCAGTCTGCAGGGGCAGACCTGACTGCTTTGGCAGAGCCCTCCTCAGCTTCAGAAGGCCCAGAAGAGAACCCTGCAATTCAGGGAAGTCCAAATGAAGCACCAACACAGGAATCTCAAAATAACACATATGAAAATTTGGCCATTCGGGATAATAGCTTGATGCTTCAGGATGGCGCTAAAGCTCAAGAAGAAGGCTCATACAAGCGGAGGTATCCAAGGAGAAGTGCTCGGGCCAGATCCAATATGTTCTTTGGACTGACTCCTCTGTATGGTGTGAGGTCCTATGGAGAGGAAGACATTCCCTTCTACAGTAACTCAGCTGGCAAGAAGCGAGGGAAGCGGTCTGCAGAAGGACAAGTGGATGGAGCAGATGACTTGAGCACATCAGATGAAGACGACTTGTACTACTACAATTTCACAAGGACAGTGGTTTCCTCAAACACGGAGGAGAGGCTCACATCCCATAGCTTATTCAGGGAGGAGGAGCAGCAGTGTGATCTTCCAAAAATCTCACAGCTAGACGGTGTGGATGATGGAACTGAAAGTGATACAAGTGTCACAGCAACAACCAGAAAAGTCAGCCAGGTAACTAAAAGGAGTGGCAAAGAGAATGGGACAGAGAACTTAAAGCTGGATAGAGCTGAAGAAGCTGGTGAGAAAGTGCAAGTCACCAAGAGCTCCACCATCCACAAAACTGACCCCAAGATTGATAACTGCCACCCTGTGAGCAGGGTTAAAGCTCAGGGTCAGGACTCTCTGGAAGTGCAGCTGAGCTCGTTGGAAACAGGCCGCAGGGCTCATGCAAGTACACCTGCCGACAAGAACCTGCTGGACACTTTCAACACAGAACTTCTGAAATCTGACTCAGACAATAACAACAGTGATGACTGTGGGAACATACTCCCTTCAGACATCATGGACTTTGTGCTGAAGAACACACCGTCTATGCAGGCCTTGGGGGAAAGTCCAGAGTCCTCATCATCTGAACTCCTGACCCTTGGAGAAGGTTTAGGTCTTGACAGCAACCGTGGAAAGGATATGGGTTTGTTTGAGGTGTTCTCTCAGCAGCTGCCCACCACTGAACCAGTGGACAGCAGTGTCTCTTCCTCCATATCAGCAGAAGAGCAGTTTGAATTGCCACTGGAGCTTCCTTCCGATCTCTCTGTTCTGACCACTCGCAGCCCTACGGTGCCCAGCCAAAATCACAACAGGCTTGCTGTCATTTCGGAGTCTTCACTTTCCTCCTCAGGAGAGAGGTCAATGCTTGCCTTGCCTTCCACAGAGTCTGGGGAGAAGAGAGTGACAGTCACAGAAAAATCTGCCTCCGGGGAAGGTGATGCGGCTCTCCTGAGTCCAGGAGTAGACCCAAGCCCCGAAGGACACATGACTCCTGATCACTTCATCCAGGGTCACATAGATGCAGAGCATATAGCCAGCCCAGCCTGTGGCCCTGTCGAGCAAGGACATGGCAGCAACCAAGATTTAACAAGAAACAGCGGGACTCCAGGTATCCAGGTGCCAGTATCACCTACTGTTCCCCTCCAGAGCCAGAAGTATGTGCCAAACTCCACTGACAGTCCTGGCCCCTCTCAAATCTCCAATGCTGCGGTGCAGACTACACCACCCCACCTCAAGCCAGCTGCAGAAAAACTTCTGGTAGTTAACCAAAACATGCAGCCCCTGTACGTCCTCCAAACTCTTCCCAATGGTGTCACCCAAAAGATACAGTTAACGCCTTCTGTTAGTTCTGCACAGAGTGTGATGGAAACCAACACTTCAGTGTTGGGGCCCATGGGGAGCGGGCTCACGCTGACCACAGGGTTGAATCCGAGCTTGCCTCCATCGCAGTCATTATTCCCTCCCACGAGCAAGGGTCTACTGCCCATGTCGCATCACCAGCATATACATCCCTTCTCCACACCTGCTCAGACAGGCTTCCCACCAAACATCAGCAGTCCTTCACCAGGTCTTCTAATCGGGGTGCAGCCACCCACTGATCCTCAGCTCTTAGTGTCTGAAGCTAGTCAGAGGACAGACCTAGGTACTGCTGCTTCTACACCAGCTGCTGCCCTGGGCAAGAAACGGCCCATATCTCGTCTGCAGTCACGGAAGAACAAGAAGCTGGCTCCTTCTGGAACTCCTTCTGCTATAGCTCCTTCTGATATGGTCTCCAACATGACCTTAATTAATTTTGCTCCTTCCCAGATTTCTAATCACCCGTTGGATTTGGGAACCATTGCTAATTCAACATCCCATAGAACTGTTCCTAATATTATCAAAAGGTCAAAGTCTGGGGTCATGTATTTTGAGCAAGCATCTTTGCTCCCGCAAGGTGGGACCACTACTGCAGTCAGCACATCTCCCAGCATTATTGGTGCAGATGCCAGTCACCTCCCAGCAGGGCCTGTATCAGGCCTAACATCGAGTTCCTCGGTGCTGAATGTCGTATCCATGCAGGCCACAGCAGCCCCTAGTACTGGTGGGTCAGTTCCTGGTCACGTTTTGGGACAAAGTTCTGTAACGTTAACAAGCCCCGGATTATTGGGGGACCTTGGTCCGATAAGCAACCTCCTGATCAAAGCTAGTCAGCAAAGCCTTGGTCTTCAGGAGCAGCACATGACTTTACCACCAAGTTCTGGGATGTTTTCTCAATTGGGAGCATCTCAGACTCCGTCTACGGCAGCCATGACAGCTGCCTCGAGCATATGTGTTCTACCCTCAGCACAGACAATGGGCATGACAGTCGCTCCATCGTCTGCTGACCCAGAAGGCTCGTACCAGCTTCAGCACATGACACAGCTTTTAGCCAACAAACCCGGGGTTGCATCCTCCCAGCTGGACCTTAGCACAGTTTCGGCAACGACACAGTTGTCAAGCTTTCCACAGCTGGTCGATGTTCCAAACAATACCGGACTCGAACAAAGCAAGGCTTCCTCGTCAGTGATGCATGCCAGTTCAGCATCTCCAGGAGGCTCCCCATCACCTGGCCAGCAGTCTGCAAGTAGCTCTGTGCTGGGTGCCACGAAAATGAAGCCAAAAGTCAAACGCATCCAGCCATTGTTAGACAAAGGGAATGGAAAGAAGCACAAAACTTCTCACGCATGGGCTGGTTCTTCTGAAGCTCACGTTCCTGAAAAAGGGACTGTTGCTGTACCCCAGGTCTTGGCTACAGGGTAAGAGGAGAGTTTGGTTTTGCTCATCCCTGAGGTTTTGTAACAGTATGAGAGAAGCTCGCACTAGTTTCTCCAGGAAATTGTGCAAGTCAAGGCAAATTGCAAAGTGCAGCTTTTGATTGATGTGGTACTGGAAGCATGAGCTGGTTCTCTGCATCTTAGGAGCTGTTGTTGCTGCTTGTGTAGTTCTGCGGAACTGCGAAATCAATCGTGGCAACTCCCAGTGGATCCATTCCTGCCTTCCAGTCTCATTTATGGCACACCTAAGTTGGCAGACATTTTGAATGTTCGCAAATCTTTTTCTTCCAGGACTCCTGCTGTGAAGGCAGATGCGCAGGATGCAGCCAGTGTTGATCAGCCGTTGCAAAATCCACATGGGCAGTCTGCAGGGTAAGGGATGAACAGACCTTTCTATATGATTCTGCTTGCTTGAGCTGAAGGGCATTTGTATGGAGAATGGAGGAAGTCTGGCATTCCTAGTTAAAATGCCTGTGGAGCTTTCAGTAGGGAATGTACAATCACATTTAGATGCAATATGGAGCCATTTTGCATTAAGCTGAGTGTAGTTCTGAGAGGCTCAGTGCCTGCGGAGGAGATGCTCATTCAGCAGTGTCTGATTGTGTGTTGGCCTACACCTTGTTCCTGAGTGGGGCTGACATGGAAAGCAGGTCACAGGCTGTGTGAAATTAGGCTGCTGCCCACAAGCTGTTAGAGGCTGCAAACAGAAATGCTACTGAGTAGAATCTTTTTGTTTGTTCATTTCCAACTGAATTTATGTTAGAACATTTGATCTAGAAAAAGATTCTTGTATCTGTCTAAGACTGCTGCTCAGGGTTGGTGAGGAAATGAGGCAGGTTGTTAGCTATTTTTCTCCATGGTTTTCTCCATGTTCTCCTCCTTCCCTCCCAAGGCAACTGGCTGTGGTCCCAGAACCTCAATCAACGCAGAACTCAATAAATGAGCAAGAAAATGCAGGTATGTTACTTTCTTCAAAAATACCTAGTCTCAGAATTCTCCAGGACTGGGAAAGTGATGTTTGAAGATTTGGTTTTTATGTTTGTCATTCTGTCAGGAAAAGGGTCAGAGCTATTAGCTTGTGTTATCCTTACTATAAGGGAAGCAGAGGTTTGTTTGCTGTTTGTGGGACTTGGACAAATAGTTTTGTCTCTGTTTTTAGTTTGTGAAAATTTCAGCACTTGAGATTTCACACTCTTACTGCAACACTCTCCAGAATTTTTTTCTTGGCTGGATTTGCTGGTGAAAAGGCAAGTCAGTAAGTTATTTTCAATTGTGGAACACCAGGTGTAAAAATCATTCTTTCCAATTGCCATCTTTTCTAGGCTCAAAAGCTCTCGAGGAAGAAGAGAGCACTTTCAGCTCCCCTCTTATGTTTTGGCTTCAGCAAGAACAGAAGAGGAAAGAGTGTCTTGGTGAGAAGAAACCGAAAAAAGGTTTGGTTTTTGAGATCTCTAGTGATGATGGCTTTCAGATCTGCGCAGAAAGCATTGAAGGTAAGAACCGCACGGTGTTGGGTTGTACTGGTTTTAGCTGTCCTTACTAGAAGTAAAATTATTACTTCTGAGGACCTCTTACTTGTTTTATTTATAGATGTGAAAAAAAAAAGAGAGAAAGAGAAATCTCTTGGTTTACAGCCCTAGAACAATCCTAGTTCCTGATAATGTCTGTATGCTATTATTTTTCTTTTTATTTTGCAACATAATAGATTCTGTAACCCATAATATATATATATATATCACTGACACTTTTTTTTTATCAGTTGACCAACGGTATTGAACCATAGTTTGTCAAGAAACAGGCTGTGTGGATCACCCAGAGGTAGTATTGGGTGTCCAGACTTTCCCTCCAGACCTATTACTGAACACTCTGCCTTATGCCAATGTGAATTTTTAAGAGGATGAAAGCAATTGGATCCAAGAATCTTAATTTATGGCCTATGGAAAGTTGGAAATTTCATATTCTCCAATTAGTTTATTTAAATATGAATATCCCAGCACTTGGGTACCTTGTCACCATTTGTCACCTGTGTGTGTGCTGCAGATGCCTGGAAGTCGCTGACTGACAAGGTGCAAGAGGCCCGTTCGAATGCCCGCCTGAAGCAGCTGTCCTTTGCAGGTAACAGCCTGCGCTGAGCATGGGAGAGCAAACAGATCTTTCATGAGGGTCTTAGAGTCTTAATAGTTCCAGTTAACCTGCTGTGGGCTTTATGGAGGGTAATTTCTTCCCAATGGAAGGATTAGAAGCTCTCACATAGAATGCAGTAGCTAATACAGTGCTGCTGTGACACTTTGTGGTGTCCCAGCTCTTTGTGACAAGCTCCTGTATCTTCCTGCTCTAAGGCTGCACTCGTAATTAGTGTTTGTTGTGCTCTATTTCTTGTTCCAGGTGTGAATGGTCTGAGGATGTTGGGGATTATCCATGATACTGTTGTGTTCCTGATAGAGCAACTGTACGGAGCGAAGCACTGCCACAATTACAAGTTCAGATTTCACAAGCCAGAGGAGGCCAATGAACCTCCTTTAAACCCACATGGCTCTGCTCGGGCTGAAGTCCACCTGAGGCAAGTGTGAGCCTTGTCACCATTGGGGTTAATGGCCCTTTGGCTCCATAACTAACGCTGTGGCAGGGCAGGAGCAACAAATCTCTGCAGCACTAAAGTTCCATTAAGTGTTAACAACTGGCACATGAAAATCAACTCTTCAGCATCTTCAAATTCTGCACATTTTCCTGTGCCACTTTGTGGCACTTTCCTTGGTTCCCTTTCCTGGCTGAGGCTATTACTGGTGGTTCTCAGAACCTGCTGTGTCTACCCCAATGCACACGGCTTTAAGAGAGGGCAGAGTAGGGGAGGTGTGAGGCAGTAAACATGTCAGACTGTTGTGGCCATCATGTTTATTTTAAGTCAGTAAAACAAACTCCTTTTGGTCTCTTTAAATTGCAGGAAATCTGCATTTGATATGTTTAATTTCTTGGCGTCTAAACACCGACAGCCACCAGAATACAACCCAAATGATGAGGAAGAGGAAGAAGTGCAGCTGAAATCAGCCCGGTATGCAGCAGAGCTTAAAGGTTCCACGGGGAAAACAGTGTCAGGGTGTTAAAATTAGCAGATTTGGCTTAATTGCGGGTTGTGTGCTTTGAGGGGTATTTAAACATTGAAAGCTGCCAAGCACTGCTAGACTAGAGGCGACTTCTGCAAAAACAAGAGAAGTGACAGCTGAAGGTAACCACCAGCCTGGTCTGCCTTCAAATGCTTCTTTTCCTTGCTAATGTAAAACAATCTGATGGGAATTTGAAGAGGAAAGGGAGGAAATGATCTTTTACATCTATATATATTAAAACAGTGCATTAATTTTGATTGTGTTCTCTGTAGGCTGCAGTATCACAATCTATAAATCTCTCTATCTTGGAAAGTGCCCCAGATTATCTGGCACAGATAACATGGCACAGTCTCAAATACAGGTCATCATTTAGCAGTGCCCCTTTGTTCTAGGAGGGCGACCAGTATGGATCTGCCAATGCCCATGCGCTTCCGGCACTTGAAGAAGACCTCCAAGGAGGCAGTTGGTGTCTACAGGTATGGTTTTGCTCTTGTACCATTGCCCATAGGAGAGGGGAAGGTGGAAACTGGAAACCTCCTGTGAAGCCAGACTGCAAAATTGAGGGGAAAAGCAGACCTGGGGATTTTCCCCTCTTCCTTCTCCCTGCCCAAGTTATGTATTTGAAAAGTAATCCTCAGCACAGACCACTTGCTCCTTGCCGGCTTTGCTTTGGCAACAGCTCAGATGTGGGCAGAGAGACCTGGTGGTGTTCTTGTTAGTGTTCCCTTAGAGAAGGTTTAACAGTACCACTGTGGTCCTTGTCTCAAACAGCCTGTCTTCTGCAGCCTTTGCAATCTGATGTTCCTGAACTTTGCTTGTCTTGTTTGAAATAATTCTCTTTTCTTGTTGCATTTTAGGTCTCCTATCCATGGCCGGGGTCTGTTCTGCAAAAGGAACATCGATGCAGGTGAGATGGTGATTGAATATTCAGGCAATGTCATTCGCTCCATCCTCACTGACAAACGAGAGAAATACTACGACAGTAAGGTGAGTTTTGCGTTTTTGTGGATGTTCTTAAAGAGTTTGGGAGAGCTAGAAAGTGGCTGTGAAGGTAGGACAGGCCTATATGAAAATTCTATTGAAAACATCTCAAACTGTATTTACTGACTTCTTGGGTTATTTTCATTCTTGCTGGAGCTTTAGAGGCACTTCATTCCCTTCTGTGATCTGGACAAGGTCTCAGATTAGTCTCAGTGAATGTGGGAATGAAATGATTCAGGCAGGAGTGTGTGAGGCCCAGTGGAGAGAGGCTACAGACACTGCCTCTGAGCTATCCTCAGAGCTGGGCTGTGTGCTGGGGTGGTTTTGCCTCTCTGCCTGCACTAATCCTCCCCTGTCCTCCCTGCATAGGGCATTGGGTGCTACATGTTCCGCATTGATGACTCTGAGGTGGTGGATGCCACCATGCACGGGAACGCGGCTCGCTTCATCAACCACTCCTGTGAGCCCAACTGCTACTCCCGGGTCATCAACATCGATGGCCAGAAACACATCGTCATCTTTGCCATGCGCAAAATCTACCGAGGGGAAGAGCTCACCTATGACTATAAGTTCCCCATTGAAGACGCCAGCAACAAACTGCCCTGTAACTGCGGTGCCAAGAAGTGCAGGAAGTTTTTAAACTAGAACTTCCATGAGATGCAAGTGAGCCCTGCAGGGCCTGGGGTGAACCAAAGCTTTGAGTGAGCGAGGCCCTCCCCAGCCAGTCAGATGGGACAGAGAGGCCAGAAGCAGGAGTGAAGATGGACTGGGCTCAGGGACCTGAGACTGGCAGCTGTGTTTGTCCGAGTCCACATCTTCATGTCTCGCATGTGCACACTCACCCTTGTGAGAGACATGGGCGGCTGGAGAAGATCCTCAGCATGGTTATGTTTTTGCTATTCTCATTTCCCCCCGCCTCCATATTTGTTTCTCAGCGTGGGGCTAATGAGTGGGAGAGGAGAGGGAAGGTCACCCCAGGCTTAGGCACAGGGCAGCAGTCATGGGTCGTGTCCCTGTCTCTGTCTCCTGGCCAGAGCTCTCCTTCCTAGGGGTGAGTCAGTGGTTGGGTAGTGCAGTGTTTGAGCCTGCCTCCTGGGGAGAAGGGCTGTGCCTCACCAGTGGCCCCTTGGGACTGCACGTCTGCAAAACACTATGTGTGAGTGGGAGTAGGTGCGCTGCCTGCTCTGTGGCACGGGGGGCTGGCTCGGCTGCTCGTGAGGAGAGCAGAACAGAGCAGCCCACAACTAGACACAGGAAGAATTTGGCTGACATCTTGCTCTGAAATCCCTGCCTGAGAGCAGGGGAACTCCTGGCATTCTTTGGCAAAGAGGGCTTGTGCTAACAGTTGGGGCACTGTAAATCTTTGCCAACAAAGGCTCCCGTTCACCAACACTCTCCCTCTGCAGCCATGTGGGAGGGAAGTGGTCCTCTGGATCCTGTCTCCAGCAGCTGGCTTCCTCCTCTGTCCAGCAAGCTCCTGGCACAGCCAGCCAGCAGTGTCTCAAGGAACTGGACAGAGGTCTCTAGAGAGAGAAGGGGAGTGCAAGCCAGTCCCGGCCTTGGCTGCACACCGTTGTAGAGCAGGAGCTAGGAAGGACTGCTGTGGGGACACCACCTCTCCGCTGTGCCACAGTGGCCCAGGCCTGTGGGAGGCAGGCAGGAGAGTGACCCTGCAGCCAGGTGCCTGTCATGGTCAGTTGTCTGGGTGTAGTCATGTTGTGTTCCCCAGAAGACACAGCAAGGGCAAAAACAGAGCCAAAGTTCTTTGCAAAGGCAAGGCCAAGCGCCAGCCAGCCTCGTCCACGCAGCATCCCGAAACGCATAGGAAACGCAGGAGGCATTGACAGTGGATGAGGAGCCAGGCCAGATCTGACCAAGTTGAGGGACACTACTATCCTGGTTGGAGCAGTCTGAGTCCTCCTCCCCATGGGGTCTGTGCCTCAGAGCAAAACCAGAGAGACAAATGAGAGACCCAAGCCTGACAGTGACAACATTGGATTCTGCTCTGTTCTGTTTACAGTTTAGTATTTAAGGTTTTATAAATGTAAATATATTTTGTATATTTTTCTATGAGAAGCACTTCATAGGGGAAAGCACTTATGACAAGGCTTTTTACAATGGTATTATCCTAATTTAAGAGAATCTCTTTTTAATGATTTTTTTATTTTCATAGGACGGTTCTAGGAAATACCTGGCTGGAAACAGTCTGAGCCTTTCTCCAGTGGGGGGGTTGCTTTAGTTTTGTTTTCTACTCTTGTTCTGCCTTTTTGACTTCAGTAACTGTCTCCAGGAGGGTTGACTGGACCTTAAACTGTATTTGCCCATAAGGACAGTGGCAGGAGGGAGAGCTGCCCAGCACGGTATGAGTTTGGCTCTGTGGGAGGACAGTGTGTGACTTGTGCAGAAGGTTTGATTCTGCCTTGCCTGCCCTGGTATCCTGCATGGGTTTAAAAAGGAAAAGTAAGACAGGATGAGACCTGACTCTGGATTGGCCTCCCCCTTTGCTGGGTGGCCAGTCTGAGACACACACCTCCTGCCACAGTCTGTCCTTCGAAGGCAGATGGGTTTTTCTGCACAGACGGGAAAGCAGGAAGCGCCCTCGCTTTTGCAAGCTTTCATGGTGGTTAGGTTGCAGTCGTTACAGGAGCTACTCTTCCTGGAGCTGATGTATCCGAGGGCTACTCTGAACCGGCACTGGCAGTTGGTGGGGAAGGGACCAGGAGTGCCTGCTGACTCCCCAGGTCTCTCAAAGGGGCATCCCCCATCCACACCTCTCTGCTCTTGAGGCTTCTTCCTCTGCCCTGAGAAGGAAAAGCAGCGCTTGGAGGTTTGGAACTTGCCTATTTCCTTTTGTTATTGCACTGTGTGAGGATAATTTGTTGGTAACTGTTGAAAGCAAAGTCACATTGACGCTGCATTTGTTACTGAGATGATTTGATGCACTGACAGTTTGGGAACGCACATACTTTGAGGAGCCCAGAGAGTGCCCACCCAGGGGATCTGGGCCCCATGGCCCCGGGCACAGCTGCTCTTGGCCCTTTTCCTTCCGTTTCTGACATGGGGCGGGGGCATAGCCCTCGCCATGGCAAAGCCCCTGAGTTTATCCCAGAGCTCAGCTACACTTTCTCACCCCCTGCGCTGCTGCTGCCTCCCGATTTCCTGGAGGAGGAGGACGTTCCACTGGGAAGCACTGCCCAGAGCCACGCCACATGGGGAGAAGTGGGAAGGAGGGTCGAGGGGAGCGCTGTGCCTCAGGAGTCCCCCAAGATCCAAGTGCCAGGCAACCTCCTCCCACTGGGACCAGCCGAGCCAGCGGGCTGCCCGCTTTGCTGCTATTCCCGTTGCGGCTGCCTCGGCAGGAGCCGCTGTGGCCAGTGAAACTGTCTGTACCCCCAGGGAGCTGCACCCGCCGTGGCCAGCCCGGGCCCGTGGGGCAAGTGGCAGCAGGGCTGGGGCAACCAGGGCAGCTGAGCCCACCCACCCTCAGCCCGGGCTGGCCAGGAGCACACAGCTCCCCGTGTATGAATGTATATTTTATAAGGACTGACACAGATCATGGTATCTGAAAATATTAAAAAAGGAACCTTAGGGCGTTTTTGTTTTTGTTTTTTTTTTTTACAAACCGACATGTTTTTTTTAAAGGAGAAGCGGGTCATTGCAAAGGGCTGGGTATCTTTTCTTTCTGGTTTTCTTTCATTTCAAAGCAATATCAAGTTCTTCAGCAGGACGGTTTGTGCAGAATCATGCCATTCACCCATACACTGGTCCACTCTCAACACTTGCAAATTTTTTTATAACTATAAATACAGTATATATAGGAACTAATATAGTAATGCACCGTGTAATGAAGCCTAGTTCAGTATCGGTTCATGGCTTTTAATTCTCTTTAACACTATAGATAAGGATTGTGTTACAGTTGCTCACGGCTCTGGGAAAGCCTTGCTGCTCATTCCCCACCGGCAGCCAGGGCCGGAAGCTGGGAGCGGGTGGCTCTGCCTTTCCTGGCCCTTCTTGTTACAGTCAGTACTTGTACAACTTGGTTTCTTCCTTTCCTTCCTCGTTTTGGTTATGAATGTTGGGGTACCACCTACATATAGGGAAAAATGTGCTCTGTGCTTTCCTGGTATCTTTTTAACAAGGTACAGTAGCTTCGTCTATCAGCCGAGAACTATACTTGTGGTGTTTCTTTTATTGAACTTACAGTCTCTTTAGTAACTACAGATAGGTGAATAATTGTTTAAAAAAAAAGCAAAAAAAAAAAAGCAAAAAAAAAAAAAGCTGTGCAAAGACAAGGTTATGTTCTAGAAATACATTTCTTGACAACTTATCATGTATAACAACTTTTTTTTTCTTGTGTTCTTCCAGTCTACTGGTTGTTTGGTTTTTTTGGTTCTGGTTTTTTGGGTTTTTTTGTTTTTTTTAAAGAGGAAACGTGTCTGAAGTACATCAGTGTTAACTCCCTGCCACAGGGAAGAAGGAAATACTTTAATAGTTAAAAAAAATGCTGAAAGCTCTGCAAAAGACTGAATGTAAAAATAAAAAGTGTACATAGTTGTAAAAAAAAAAAAAAAGGAGTTTTTAAACATGTTTATTTTCTATGCACTTTTTTTTATTTAAGTGATAGTTTAATTAATAAACATGTCAAGTTTATTGCTGCAGAGGGCTCTCTCCATTTCTTCTTGAGAACTAAAGAGCTGCCACTTCTTCAGGACACTCACAAGGCATGGGAGCAGCCGCTGGCCAGCACCAAAGGCACGGGGTTTTGAGTGAGGAGCCCTTAGCTCCAGTGTGGGGGGGTGACCTTGGCTGCTCTTGGGGGCACCGGCCAGGTGGTGGGGCCTCACACCCGGGCTGCGATAGGGCGAGACAAGGTGAAGTGGGGCCGGCAGTGTGAACATTAACTGGGCTGTGGCAGCCTGCTTGTGCCTGCAGCCTTGTCACAGGCCTCAGCGGCAGCAGCATGGCCACGGCAAACGACAGGGCCGTCCTGCAGACCATCTTTAACCCCAGCACCCCTTTTGGGGATATCCCAGGGTTGGATGAGGAAGAGGAAGATGTCCAGGATGAAGGTGAGTGATGCTGCAGCAGGTTCCTGCTGGAATTGCCAGCAGGGTCCCCATGGGGCAAGCGGGCGGGCAGGGAAGGAGGCTCTTCAGGCTGGGAGCAGTGCCTGCTTGAGGCTGGACATCAGCGCTCTACCCCGTGTCTGTTCCCTTCCTGGACAGGGAGTGTAGGGTGGCAGTGGGACTGGGCCCCGTGGGTCGTCCCGGTGCCTCCCCTTCCCAGTCAAGGTCTCCCATTTATATTGCAATAGTGGAAGCTTTTCCATTGGAGCTGCTGGATCAAGTCCGGGAGCTGGAGCTGCAGGGAGTTTCTGCGGCTGAGTCAGGAGACATAAGCACGGCCCTGGAGCGGTTCAGCGAGGCCATTCGGCTGCTGCCTGAGCGCGCCTCGGGCTACAACAACCGGGCCCAAGCCCTACGCCTGCGCGGGGACGTGGCAGGTGAGCAGCGCGGTCCGGGTGCTCTCCCGGTACCCCCAGCCCGCACCGATGCCTCCCCTCGTTGCCAGGCGCCCTGCAGGACCNAGCTGGGCCACATCCTCCGACCCTGCTGTGTACTGGAACTCTGGGGCCCAGCGTGGTGGACGCCCTCATGCCCCTGCTCTAGCTGCCTCTCTCGTAGCGCTGAGCACGGCTGATACAACATGGGGTGTCCCGGGGGCTGGCCGGGGGCTGCCCTCTCCCTCCTGCTGCTCCTGCTGCTCAGCCTCCTGGCGCTCTGCTTGGCAGGTGAGGCTGTGGTGGGTTCTGGTGCGTGACTCCGGGAGCAGGACCCCTGCCGCAGCTCTGATGTGCCGTGGGCTCTCTGGCAGCACTGGAGGAAGTGGACCCCACCACTGCCGGGCAGCCGCGAGCAGTGTGCACCCTGCAGGAGGGCGACAGTCGTACCTTCACCTGCTGGGTTCCCCGGCCAGTCCCCGGTGCCACACTGGCCTGGTACCTCAGCGGTCAGAAACAGGAAGTCAACCTCTCGACTGCGGACACTGCCAGCATCCTCACCCTCACCGGCCAGCGATCTGACCACCAGCTCAACTGCTCCCTGACCAACCCGACCTCCAGTGAGACCTACAACACCTCCATCCTTCTCAATGTGCAGTGTAAGGTCTGCGGTGCTGGCCTGCTCCAGACTGGGATGTGGGGAGGGTGTGTGGGGCTCCCATCCAGCTCGGGCAGGACCATAACCTCCATCCATCACAGCCATAGCAGGGCACCTTGTCAGTCTTGTGCAAATGAGGTAGACAAGTGCTCCTGGACTCAGGCGAGACAAATCCTGCTCCTAGCTGTGTTGCTCCCCCATCCCTCCTGCCCATCTCACTGCCTGTTTTTTACCTAGATAAGCCAGAAATCCAGGAAGGCACCCACTATCAGCAGGTCAGGGGTGCTGGCCTTCTCCTGCTGCTCTTTGTGCTGGTGCAAGCCAACCCACCTGCCAGCATCACCTGGGTGAACCAGGATGGGCATGTGATGGCCAACACCTCCAAGTTTCTCCTCCTGGGTGCCACAAGCTACCCAGGGCTGGCCAACCACTCTCTCCACATCCATCTCAGCTGCACCGCTGGAAACCTCTCCATCAGTGCAGCCGACAGTGTGGGCATCACCACTGCCTCTCTCCTGCCCACAGGTAACTGTTGAGGGATAAGCATGGTGCAGTGGCCCCGTGGAAGGATGCTGAGGGGTCTGTGCTGACCGTGCAGGTCTGCTGGATGCCCGTGTGGAGCTGCCTGTCCTGGGTGTTGCCATTGGAGCAGCCCTGGCCCTAGCTGCCCTGCTCAGCCTGGGCTCCTGTGCTGCCTGCCTGGCATGCCGCTTGCCCAAGCATGTGCGAGGTCCGGGGCAAGCAGGAGGGAACAGTCCACCCAGCCAACGCTCCCATTGCAGCAGCTCTGAGGCCCCGCAGCCCCAGGGTACACATCTGCCCCGCCAAACCCGGTCCCTGCCACCCAACCTGCGCCTCAGTGACCTTGCACAGGATGAAGGTAAAACCCTGATGTGCCAGTGCAGCAAGACACGTGGGGCCCCAGGTCCTGCCTGGGTGAGGGACAGATGTCCTAGCTCTCATCCCTTTGCTTCCCTGCAGCTTCCCCCAAGGATGGAGGAGCTGGTGCTAGGGGGGAAGAGAGTGCCCTGCTGGGACTGGAAAACTCCCTGGTCCTCAGCAAGCTTGGTAAGGGGAGCAGGTGGGCAAAGAGCCCCAAAAGATGTGTTGTGAGACATGGAGATCTGTGGCTGCCCTAACAGGCGATGAGTTCTTTGTCCTGCAGGTTTTGTCCAGCTCCCGATGTCTGGGCGCATCTACAAAGTGCCCAGCATGAGCAGTGATGAGATCTGGCTGTGAGCTGCAGTGTGGTGCCAGTGAGCCAGGGCTGCCCGGCACCAGGTACGTACCAGCCCCTGGAGCCAAGCAGCTGAGGGTGCCAGCAAGGCCATGATGGGAAGCAGGAGCTAACCAGCCCCAGCTCTGTGCTGTGGTATGCGATGCAGGGCTTGGGAGCTGCGCTGTCAGCCAAGGCATGGTTTTATGTAGTCCGTGAATTTTACCAATATTCCGTTACAATCCAAATGCATCAAAGCTGTTAATAGCCAGGCTCTAGCACTACCATTCCTCCTGGGGTAAAGCTAAGCACCAGCTTTGCTTTAGCAGGTTTGTGACATGCTGCATGATCCTCTTTGCTCCTGTCCCTGCTGCTGTGGCAGACGGGTGGGAGGTCAGCAGAGCAGGGGCTGGGGAGAGCCGTCCCAACAGCAATAAACTGAATTCAAGCATCTGTGTGGTGCCGCACAGGTTATTTCTGACTGGCAGGAGCTAAGGGACTGTTCTCAACAGGAAAGGGGATTCAAAAATAAGGAGCAGAGGAGGTTCAAGATCTCCAGGTCAGAGCTTGCAACACCCTGAGCAGATCTGAGTGTTGTGTCTGAGTGTGGAATTTTTTCCTGTTGCTCCAGCCCTTGTAGCAAGGTGCTCAAGGAGCCTCTGCTCTGCAGCACCTGTGGCACAGAAAGTCTGACACAGGGAAAAGCTGGTTTAATGCTGAACTCCTTGGGAACAAGTCAAAAATTGAGCCATTATGTAGCTTCTGCAACAAATATGGTGAGTCAAGTCCTACTCCCTAACACAGAACAGTCCAGCAATGTCTCTAAGACCAGAGAGGCTTCTGATTTGCTGTGTGGTATCCCAACCTGCTCTGGGTCCATGTCAGTGTCCAGCAGCAGATGGTGATCCAGGAGATGAGGCTTTAATGTGAAGCATCAATTAAAGCTCAACACCTCTGACTCTGCTGCTTGTGAGGGTGGGTTGGGTGGTGGGCTCCTGCCCTTCTGCCCATCAGCCAGGGGCTTGAAGTGCTGCAGGGAAAAGAACATGCTCATGCAAAGGTTTGACTCCCACTGCTCAGAGCACACACATGAATCTGAACGTGCTGGCCACACTGGCTCTGGGTTGTGTGCTCAGCAGCCAGCCCAAGAAGATGCATTTTGGCTTGCATTGGCCTGTTGAACAACATGGCACCTCAGCCCAGAGCACAGCCTAGCTCCCTGTGTCAGGCAGAGGCACCAGGCAGAAGAGCAGCTAAGAACGTGTTCTCTGGGGCCCACCAGCCCTTTGCACACTCCCAAAAAGCCAAATGTCACCACAAAGCCAAATGTGAAGGGACCACCTGTGTAGTCCTGTTAGCTGGACAAGCAGCACCTGGGTGGAGCCACATACCTGTGAGTTCTTGAACTCCAAGAACAGGGAGAAGAGGACATGCAGAGGGTGGATCCGGCTCTTGTACACAGGGATGTCCAGAATGGCTGCAGGTGAGATCAGAAGCATGTGAGGGCACCTGGTCTGTACTGCCCCACACAGAGCATTGTCATGAAGGGCTGAGCTCCCCACTGCCCACCATCACCTGGGGCTCCACACACCAAAGACTGCAGACCCCTGCATTAAAAAAGCCCACCTCCCACTGAAGCAGCAGGGAATGATCCTGACTGTTCAGGGCTGAGCCTGCAGCTAAAACTCTCTCAGTGAGAGTGCCAGGCCAGCATCACACTGAGTCAGCAGCACAGCCTCCCCAGCTCACCACAGATCATGTCGATGTATTCAGCAAGGTCACAGCTCATCTCTGCGGTCGGAAGACCCACCTGGAACAAACAGGGCTGTCAGATCTGCTCCCAGACCACAGGAGCCTCGGAGCATACAGAAGCCACTGGGACAGCAACTGGGAATTCCAGTGTTGGGCTGCTCCTCAACTTCTGCCAAGGGCAAAGTCATGAGGAGGAGCAAGCCCAAGAGGACTGGGCTGTGGGATGGAGCAGGCACACAGCTTTCATGGCAAATGGTTTCTAAGACCATGCATTGAGCTAACAACTGGTCACTCAGTTGTTACAATATACCTTTCCCAGGAGCTCCTCAAATTCTGGTGACCATTCCTGCATCAGGGTCTCGATGTCAGGCATTGGCCTGCCAGGGAAGAGAAGAAGATCAGCTTCAGGATCACACACAGCCTTCCACTGCTACCATCAGGGCTCACCTGGAGTAATGGACTGTGGCAGGAGGTTTGCAGCGATGCAGTTCAGTAATACTTTCAATCCAGCTCTCAATGGCTTTGGGGTTCTTTTCTGCATTCTCCAAACTCTTCACTTTTATCTGCTGCTAAAACATAAATATAAACCTGGAAGTGTTTCATTGTGTTTTGAGGCTTTTTGGGAAAGCTACATCCACTCCTGGTGAACCAGGCCTTCTCTTTCCCAGCTACACTTCACCAACAGATTTCTGCAGGCAAAATGCCAACTAAAACTGGGTATGAACAACCAAAAGGAAATAAAGCATCACCTGAAGTGAACAAACCCAGCATTTGTATCAAGATTTGACTGAAGCAAGGCTCAGATCCACTGCAGTTTAAAACTATGGATTAAAGCAAAAGGTCTGGTTTTGCTGCTTTTAAAGTCAAGTTCTCAGTTGTAAGACTGCTATGATTTTACTATAGTGTGTAGCAAGTGACCTCCCTCTCCCTGACTCACTGTGATGTTGTGCTGCTTGGAGTTCTCTGTCAGCCAAAGGGAAAGCACGGTGGGATCTGACTGTTTGGTTGAGGGCTCATCCAGGACCAGCAGGCCAAGGTTGTCAGGCTTGCCATCGGGACGAGGAACCTGCAGGAGAACAGAGCCCTTTTCTCTGTGGAGTCCAGGGCAGGTTTGTACAGTGCCTTCCCGTGGGCTCTCTCAGATGTGCATTCTAAGTGTGGTGCTGCCTGAAAAGCAGTGTTGGAGAAGGAAAAATCCAGGCTTTGCCTCAAGTTACCCAAGTGCTGCTTGAGAGGTGACCAAACCATCAGTGTAGTTTTCCAGCTCTCCAGCCATCATGTCTGACAGAGCAGGGACAGACCAGACCCCAGGCTGTACAGCCTGGCTGCCTAAGTGCTCTGACCCTGCGCTCAGTCTGTGGGGCAGAACAGAGAGAGGAACCTGAAGAAACTGTACCTTTAGGAATGCATCAATATCTCCAACAGCAGGAATAAAGTCTGGAATAAAAGGCTGCAGCTTGTGCTCAATCTCTATTGTTTTGGGAGTGTACCTGAAAAAAAACACCACCACAGCATGGGTGACTAGAAACTGTGCTGCAATAATTGACACAAAAGAGAGCCATGAGCAGGCTAAGATTCTTTCATTCACCTCTTGATGTATTCAAAGAGATCTCTGATTTCAGAAGACACTTGCAGGTAGTCAAAATCTGCTGGATTGAAGTCACTAAAAAAAGGAAGAGAGTAGAGGGAAAAGATTAACTTGTGGCAAGTTCTGTACAACAGAAATCAGGCCCCAGTTGGGGCAGACAAATGTGGGAAGCTGAACCACCAGGCAGTAAGCCTTCTCTGGAAAACACTTCTTGCACAGGGAAAGCATTATTTGGGCCTGTTTTGCTTTGGACCAGCTCACCAAGAAAAGCACCTGAGTGGTGGACATCTGAGAACATTCAGTCCCACACAGGGCTGTCAAAAGGCAGCTAAGTTCTCTGCACAAAGGCAGCAATAGAACAGCAATTAGGGGGTCAGCAATAGCTTTGAAGTTCAGAATGATGGAGAAGAATTATGAGGATCTGAGTGATATGTTGGAGATGGTCCTTCCCTTTTCTGGACTTCTCCTGCCGGCCAGGCCTGGCTTAAACTTTGGATCATTCCTGCTGTACCTCTCCTGGGCACAGCAAACAAGCCCGGGACTGGTTCACCCCCTGGAGGAGCCACCACCCTGCAGCATCAGGGACGAGGAAACAGGAGTTGCCTGTCCCGCTGCCCACGACTCCGCTCACCCTCGTGGGTCCAGGGGAAACCAGTGGAGCCGACAGGGCCCGAAAGGCAGCCACCAGCGTTAGCCCCTGCCCCTCCGGCCAGGAACACCGCTCACCCCTCCAGCGCGGCCCCCTGCTCCTCCGAGTCCTCCTCCGAGTCGCTCTCCGAGGAATCTTCCTCCGAGTCCTCGTCGTCCTCGTCGTCATCCTCGCTGAAGGTGGCTGGGCCCGAGAGGTGTGCCGCTGCCTCCTCCTGGGCGAGAGAAGCGGGTCTCACGGCACATCACCGACTCTCCCCGGGCCGCTCCCCGCTCCCGCTGCGCTCGTACCTTCCCTCCGCTGCCCCGATCGCCGCTCCCGCACTCGGCCGCTCCGACAGACACCCCGGGCCGACGGGAGTCCCGCAGGCGGCCCGCGCCCCCCGCCCGAG